GAGAGGGTGCGGTACACAGAGAGAGGGTGTGGCACACAGAGAGAGGGTGTGGCACACAGAGAGAGGGTGTGGCACACAGAGAGAGGGTGTGGCACACAGAGAGAGGGTGCGGTACACAGAGAGAGGGTGTGGCACACAGAGAGAGGGTGTGGCACACAGAGAGAGGGTGTGGCACACAGAGAGAGGGTGTGGCACACAGAGAGAGGGTGTGGCACACAGAGAGAGAGTGTGGCACACAGAGAGAGGGTGTGGCACACAGAGAGAGGGTGTGGCACACAGAGAGAGGCTGTGGCACACAGAGAGAGGCTGTGGCACACAGAGAGAGGGTGCGGCACACAGAGAGAGGGTGTGGCACACACAGAGAGGGTGTGGCCCACAGAGAGAGGGTGTGGCACACAGAGAGAGGGAGTGGCACACAGAGAGAGGGTGTGGCACACAGAGAGAGGCTGTGGCACACAGAGAGAGGGTGCGGTACACAGAGAGAGGGTGTGGCACACAGAGAGACGGTGTGGCACACAGAGAGAGGGTGTGGCACACAGAGAGAGGGTGTGGCACACAGAGAGAGGCTGTGGCACACAGAGAGAGGCTGTGGCACACAGAGAGAGGCTGTGGCACACAGAGAGAGAGGGTGCGGCACACAGAGAGAGGGTGTGGCCCACAGAGAGAGGGTGTGGCACACAGGGTGTGGCACACAGAGAGAGGGTGTGGCAGACAGAGAGAGGGTGTGGCACACAGAGAGAGGGTGTGGCACACAGAGAGAGGGTGTGGCCCACAGAGAGAGGGTGTGGCACACAAAGAGAGGGAGTGGCACACAGAGAGAGGGTGCGGCACACAGAGAGAGGGTGCGGCACACAGAGAGAGGGTGTGGCACACAGAGAGAGGCTGTGGCACACAGAGAGAGAGGGTGCGGCACACAGAGAGAGGGTGTGGCCCACAGAGAGAGGGTGTGGCACACAGGGTGTGGCACACAGAGAGAGGGTGTGGCAGACAGAGAGAGGGTGTGGCACACAGAGAGAGGGTGTGGCACACAGAGAGAGGGTGTGGCCCACAGAGAGAGGGTGTGGCACACAAAGAGAGGGAGTGGCACACAGAGAGAGGGTGCGGCACACAGAGAGAGGGTGTGGCACACAGAGAGAGGGTGTGGCACACAGAGAGAGGGTGTGGCCCACAGAGAGAGGGTGTGGCTCACAGGGTGTGGCACACAGAGAGAGGGTGCGGTACACAGAGAGTGGGTGTGGCACACAGCGAGAGGCTGTGGCACAGCGAGAGGCTGTGGCACACAGAGAGAGGCTGCGGTACACAGAGAGAGGGTGTGGCACACAGAGAGAGGCTGTGGCACACAGAGAGAGGGTGTGGCACACAGAGAGAGGCTGTGGCACACAGGGTGTGGCACACAGAGAGAGGGTGTGGCAGACAGAGAGAGGGTGTGGCACACAGGGTGTGGCACACAGAGAGAGGGTGTGGCAGACAGAGAGAGGGTGTGGCACACAGATAGAGGGTGCAGTACACAGACAGAGGGTGTGGCACAGAGAGAGAGGGTGTGGCACACAGAGAGAGGGTGTGGCACACAGAGAGAGGCTGTGGCACACAGAGAAAGGCTGTGGCACACAGAGAGAGGGTGCGGCACACAGAGAGAGGGTGTGGCCCACAGAGAGAGGGTGTGGCACACAGAGAGAGGGTGCGGTACACAGAGAGAGGGTGTGGCACACAGAGAGAGGGTGTGGCACACAGAGAGAGGGTGTGGCACACAGAGAGAGGGTGTGGCACACAGAGAGAGGCTGTGGCACACAGAGAGAGGGTGCGGTACACAGAGAGAGGGTGTGGCACACAGAGAGAGGGTGTGGCACACAGAGAGAAGGTGTGGCACACAGAGAGAGGGTGTGGCACACAGAGAGAGGGTGCGGTACACAGAGAGAGGGTGTGGCACACAGAGAGAGGGTGTGGCCCACAGAGAGAGGGTGTGGCCCACAGAGAGAGGGTGTGGCACACAGGGTGTGGCACACAGAGAGAGGGTGTGGCAGACAGAGAGAGGGTGTGGCACACAGAGAGAGGGTGCGGTACACAGAGAGAGGGTGTGGCAGACAGAGAGAGGGTGCGGTACACAGATAGAGGGTGCGGTACACAGACAGAGGGTGTGGCACACAGAGAGAGGGTGTGTCACACAGAGAGAGGGTGTGGCACACAGAGAGAGGCTGTGGCACACAGAGAGAGGCTGTGGCACACAGAGAGAGGGTGCGGCACACAGAGAGAGGGTGTGGCCCACAGAGAGAGGGTGTGGCACACAGAGAGAGGGTGCGGTACACAGAGAGAGGGTGTGACACACAGAGAGAGGGTGTGGCACACAGAGAGAGGGTGCGGTACACAGAGAGAGGGTGTGGCACACAGAGAGAGGGTGCGGTACACAGAGAGAGGGTGTGGCACACAGAGAGAGGGTGTGGCACAGAGAGAGAGGCTGTGGCACACAGAGAGAGGCTGTGGCACACAGAGAGAGGCTGTGGCACACAGAGAGAGGGTGTGGCCCACAGAGAGAGGGTGTGGCACACAGAGAGAGGGAGTGGCACACAGAGAGAGGGTGTGGCACACAGAGAGGCTGTGGCACACAGAGAGAGGGTGCGGTACACAGAGAGAGGGTGTGGCACACAGAGAGAGGGTGTGGCACACAGAGAGAGGGTGTGGCACACAGAGAGAGGGTGTGGCACACAGAGAGAGGGTGTGGCACACAGAGAGAGGGTGTGGCACACAGAGAGAGGGTGTGGCACACAGAGAGAGAGGGTGCGGCACACAGAGAGAGGGTGTGGCACACACAGAGAGGGTGTGGCCCACAGAGAGAGGGTGTGGCACACAGAGAGAGGGAGTGGCACACAGAGAGAGGGTGTGGCACACAGAGAGAGGCTGTGGCACACAGAGAGAGGGTGCGGTACACAGAGAGAGGGTGTGGCACACAGAGAGAGGGTGTGGCACACAGAGAGAGGGTGTGGCACACAGAGAGAGGGTGTGGCACACAGAGAGAGGGTGCGGTACACAGAGAGAGGGTGTGGCACACAGAGAGAGGGTGTGGCACACAGAGAGAGGGTGTGGCACACAGAGAGAGGGTGTGGCACACAGAGAGAGGGTGTGGCACACAGAGAGAGAGTGTGGCACACAGAGAGAGGGTGTGGCACACAGAGAGAGGGTGTGGCACACAGAGAGAGGCTGTGGCACACAGAGAGAGGCTGTGGCACACAGAGAGAGGGTGCGGCACACAGAGAGAGGGTGTGGCACACACAGAGAGGGTGTGGCCCACAGAGAGAGGGTGTGGCACACAGAGAGAGGGAGTGGCACACAGAGAGAGGGTGTGGCACACAGAGACAGGCTGTGGCACACAGAGAGAGGGTGCGGTACACAGAGAGAGGGTGTGGCACACAGAGAGACGGTGTGGCACACAGAGAGAGGGTGTGGCACACAGAGAGAGGGTGTGGCACACAGAGAGAGGCTGTGGCACACAGAGAGAGGCTGTGGCACACAGAGAGAGGCTGTGGCACACAGAGAGAGAGGGTGCGGCACACAGAGAGAGGGTGTGGCCCACAGAGAGAGGGTGTGGCACACAGGGTGTGGCACACAGAGAGAGGGTGTGGCAGACAGAGAGAGGGTGTGGCACACAGAGAGAGGGTGTGGCACACAGAGAGAGGGTGTGGCCCACAGAGAGAGGGTGTGGCACACAAAGAGAGGGAGTGGCACACAGAGAGAGGGTGCGGCACACAGAGAGAGGGTGCGGCACACAGAGAGAGGGTGTGGCACACAGAGAGAGGCTGTGGCACACAGAGAGAGAGGGTGCGGCACACAGAGAGAGGGTGTGGCCCACAGAGAGAGGGTGTGGCACACAGGGTGTGGCACACAGAGAGAGGGTGTGGCAGACAGAGAGAGGGTGTGGCACACAGAGAGAGGGTGTGGCACACAGAGAGAGGGTGTGGCCCACAGAGAGAGGGTGTGGCACACAAAGAGAGGGAGTGGCACACAGAGAGAGGGTGCGGCACACAGAGAGAGGGTGTGGCACACAGAGAGAGGGTGTGGCACACAGAGAGAGGGTGTGGCCCACAGAGAGAGGGTGTGGCTCACAGGGTGTGGCACACAGAGAGAGGGTGCGGTACACAGAGAGTGGGTGTGGCACACAGCGAGAGGCTGTGGCACAGCGAGAGGCTGTGGCACACAGAGAGAGGCTGCGGTACACAGAGAGAGGGTGTGGCACACAGAGAGAGGCTGTGGCACACAGAGAGAGGGTGTGGCACACAGAGAGAGGCTGTGGCACACAGGGTGTGGCACACAGAGAGAGGGTGTGGCAGACAGAGAGAGGGTGTGGCACACAGAGAAAGGGTGCGGTACACAGAGAGAGGGTGTGGCACACAGAGAGAGGGTGTGGCACACAGAGAGAGGCTGTGGCACACAGAGAGAGGCTGTGGCACACAGAGAGAGGCTGTGGCACACAGAGAGAGAGGGTGCGGCACACAGAGAGAGGGTGTGGCCCACAGAGAGAGGGTGTGGCACACAGGGTGTGGCACACAGAGAGAGGGTGTGGCAGACAGAGAGAGGGTGTGGCACACAGAGAGAAGGTGTGGCACACAGAGAGAGGGTGTGGCACACAGAGAGAGGGTGCGGCACACAGAGAGAGGGTGCGGCACACAGAGAGAGGGTGTGGCACACAGAGAGACTGTGTGGCACACAGAGAGAGGGTGCGGCACACAGAGAGAGGGTGTGGCACACAGAGAAAGGGTGTGGCACACAGAGGCACACAGAGAGAGGGAGTGGCACACAGAGAGAGGGTGCGGCACACAGAGAGAGGGTGCGGCACACAGAGAGAGGGAGTGATAGGGTGCGGCGCACAGTGATAGAGTGCGGCGCACAGTGATCGAGTGCGGCGCACAGTGATCGAGTGCGGCACACAGTGATCGAGTGTGGCACACAGTGATAGAGGGGTGAGGGATAGCGAGCGTGCGACAGAGTGAGAGCGTGAGTGCGTGACTCACAGCGCCCAGAAGCAGTTGAGCCGCTCGAGCCAGCTCCAGGCGGATCGGGAAATGGCTGACGTCCTCCCTGCCCTCCCTCTCTTGCTTTTCTTCGCGATGCGGATTATTGCCCAGTTTACCCCCCGTCTTCTCCTCCTCGCCTTCCCCTCCCCTCCTAGTTCGCTTTCTCCTCGCCTCTCCCTCCTGACCCCGTAATCCTGATTCGTGCCCCTCGTTCCCCCCTGCCTGCTCACCCTCTTTCCCTGCTCTCCCTGCCTGCCCTACATCCTCCTTCTTTACATCCCCCTCCTCATCATCATCATCCTCCGCCTCCCCCTGTGCCTCATCCCCAGCACATGCGAACACCAGACCTAGCACACTTTCCCATAACTCGTTTACTGCAAGTTGGTCCTGACCCTGCACACGTGTAAGACAGGAGAACGGGAAACGGGGGAAACAGGCACGAGATGGAGAGAGGCAAGGGAGTGGGAGGAACACCAGATCCGTCACCCTCCCATAGCCCAACCTATTTGAGCCTCTGACCCTCTTAGATGGCGGGGGGACGGAGGGAGGGGCAAGAGGTGAAATGGAAGATGGGGGAACAGACGGAAGCTGTGATTGTGACTCGTGGCTGACGGGATGGGTGGGAACAACAGCAGATGGGAACCACAGCAGGCATGATGGTAGGGGTGACAGAGGGGCGGAGTTGGAACTGGAAGGGCAGCGTTGACTTCATTGACTTGCCTGCAGGAACCGGAAGAGCAGAGTTGACTTGATTGTCTCCAGGCGACGATACATGGGCAGCGATGCTGCGGTGGGGGGATTGGCAGCGACGACGAGGGATAGCGTGTGTTTTGTTTTTGAGAATTCTCAAAAACGGAAGAGCAGCATTGACTTGATGGTCTCCAGGCGCCAATACATCGGCAGAGACGCTGCAATGGGGGGGTTGCCGACGATGCGAAGGAGGGATTTGCGAGCGGCAGAGGAAAGGGGGAAAGTGTGGGGGGGGGGGAGATGGTATGTATGGTGAGAGGGTGGCATAGAGAGGGCGGAAGAAGTGAGACGAAGGGAACACACGAGACATGCAGAGTGTGGCGGTGGCAGTGCAAGTCCCTCAGAAGCACGTCCAGGAAAGATGAGAAGGAGCAGAACCAGCAGACGTTGACGAGTGATACCATGTTTCATGTTCACGAAACTCATGGGACATGAGGAGTGTGTGTAAGTAGTTTAGTTTTGAGATGCCTCAATACTAAGGTTTCATGCTCATGGAGCTCACACAACATGAGGAGGAGCGTGTGGCGGTGGCAGTGGCGGTGGAAGCCCCTCAGAAGCACGTCAATGATGAAAGGGGGCTGAACCAGCAGAAGATTACGTTACATCATTCCACTAGGTGACTTACGGGGCACGAGCAGCGTGTGGCGGTGGCGGTGGAAGCACCTCAGAAGCACGTCAATGATGAGAGGGGGCTGAACCAGCAGAAAACGACATTTACCACATTCCACAAGGGGACTTACGGGACAAGAGTAGCGTGTGGCGGTGACGATGAAAGTCCCTCACAAGCACGTCAATGATGAGCAGGAGCAGCCGGGACGACGCCAGGGACTGGCGGATGGGGTTGAGTTGAGATCATGAGACGGAGGGAAGACCTTTTGAGTCATCTCAGAATTCAGCACGTCAGTGATGAGCAGGAGCAGCCGGAACGACGCCAGGGACTGGGGCATGGGGTTGAGATGAGTTGGATGCAAGAGGGGGGGGCGCGGGGAAGACAACAGGGTTTGGTGCAGGCAGGTCGTTTAGAATGGGTGGAAAGAGGCGTGTCTCGTAGAAAATGAGAACAGATCGCAAGCATCTCCTGAGAGCCCACGTGGCATGCTCACCTGACACGTGGCATCTTCAGCTGCAGCTTCCTCCCGCTCCACATCCTCTGCAGACCGTACTCTCTTCCCCCTCCATCCATCCCTCCCTCCATCCCTCACTCCGTCCCTTCCTTGACTCCTCTCACTTCCTCCTGCTGCTGCTGCTCCTACTGACTCTCCAGCACCTCCCCCCGCTGTAGTCGCAGCCTCTCTATTGCCCCCTGACCTCAGCACTCGGGTAACTGGCTGTGCCTTGCCAGATGTACCTGCACCAGTTGCCACCTTCTCTTCCTGTGCCTTGCCGAATGCACCTGTTCCAGTTGCCAGCTTCTCCTGCTGTGCCTTTGCAGTAAGCTCTGTAGCAAGCTGGTCACCATGTTGGTTACCCTGTTGGTTACCACTTGGAATGTCCACCACTAAAGGGTCCTTTACCTCCTCCGCTGCTTCCACACTCTCTCTGACTTCCACAGTTCCACCCTCTACGTCACTCCCTTTCATCTCCTCCACTTCTACCACATTCCCCTTCACCTCCTCTACCGCACTCCCCTTTACCTCCACCACACACTCCTTGACCTCCTCCCCCTCATTCCCACTCAGCTCAACCACCTTGTCATCACCCCCCGGTTCCCCCCCCTCCACCTCAATCTCCCTCACTTCCTCAACATCCACACCCTCACTCGCCCGACCAACTTCCGCGTCATTCTCCGCCTCAGCAGCCTTCTTCCCCCTCACTCTGCGCTTACCTGCTGCTGCCCTCCCTCCCCTACCTCGCCTCCTCTTCCCCCTCCCTCTACCCGCTCTGCTTGAAGCCTTCGTTTCCTCCACCACTTCCTCTATACCTTCCTGCCCTTCCCCTTCCCCCACCTCTCCCTCTCGCTCAGCCCCCTCCCCCCTGCCTTCGCCCACGCCTGGGCCCTTTCTGTCTGCTTCCTCCTCTCCCTTTCCTTCTCCCTCTTCCTTCACTCCCTTTCCCTCACTCCCAACCTCAGCAGTCGTCTCCACCCCCGTCTCCATCACCTGCACCTCGTCCTCCTCTTCCACTTCTCCACCACCTTTCCCTTTCTTCGCCTCGACTTTCACCTCTTTCCTTATACCCTCTTTCCTTATACCCTCTTTCCTTATACCCTCTTTCCTTATACCCTCTTTCCTTATACCCTCTTCCACTTCAACGTTCTCCTCACCCTCCTTCTCCCCACCACTGCCAGCGCCCTTATCAGCATCATCCACATCAGCATCGTCTGCATGAGAACTGCCTTGCTGCGTGGCTGTCACTGCCTTTGCTGCTGCAGTGAAGAGGCCTGCAAGGCTCTGCAAGCACAGAAAAAAGGAACAGAGGTCAGCCAGCAAAAGGAGATACAAAAAGCGAAAGGTCAGCCAGCCAGAGGGACATAGGACGAAGAAAAAGAGGAAATGCTGACTTTTAAATTGCACACTACTTTTTCGACGCCAACGATCATAGGGCTCTTAGTTACACCTCAGGGTTTGGCTCAGGTTGCAACACGGATACTGCGGTTCGGGTCTTGGTAGAGACTGAGGGGGAAGACTGGTGGTCAAGCTGTTGTATTGTACCATGTGGGATGGTGTGGGCGAGTCATAGCCAATGTTGGGAAGCCACGCCTGTAATGCCAGGCACACAGGGATCAGGCACACAGGGATCAGGCACACAGGGATAAGGCAAACGGGTGAGGCATCGTTGTGATGCACATGCACCCATAACGCATAGGGCATGAAAGACGAATTCGAATTCAAATTGTCCACCTCACCTCAGTGCCCTCAGCTGCCTCTGTCTGAGCCAGCAGGTTGGCAGCGCGCCACACCAGCAACCCCTCCTTGGAGCTCCGCACTACCTGAGCCATGCGCTGGCGGAGGGATCTGATGTGGGAAGCAGGAAGAATGAAGCATAAAGACATCCTCGTTATAAGGTGACCTGGCCCTGAGTGAGCTCCGCACCACCTGAGCCATGCGCTGACGGAAAGACCTGGTGGGGGTACTAGGGAGAATGAAGGCATACTCGTTACAAGGTGATTCGGCTCTGAGTGAGATCCTAACCACCTGAGCCATGAGGCTGCTGCAATGACCTGGCGGAGGAATCTGATGGGATTGAGGGATGCTTGAGTCGCACATGAGTCGGTGAAAGGAAACACTTGAGTCGATTTCAGAATCAGCCAGCTTCTTACCACGTGATATATGTGCAATTTAGCGAGGAGTCTAGGTTTGAGGCGTCACAGAACTAGATTCCGATCACTTGCAGCATGTAGGAGCTACGAGAAGCAGTTTTTCTGGAGCCAGCACCTGGCTGGCAGCAATCTTTCTGGAACATCTGATAGTAGCACCTCACCAGAGCGGGGTTCAGGTTGGAAAAATGCCGCTAAACGCTAAAATGCATACCTGCGAACATTCAGCTGGAATACATTCATGGAAGGAAGTTACCTGGGAATATGTGGAGCGAGGGGATGGTGGGTGAGCTCTGACATAGTGAAGAGGAAATACGCCACTGTAGAGGGGGGGAAAGGGAGAACGACGATAAGGGACCGGAGGAAGGGAATTGAGGAGGGAAACAAGGAGAACGTGTAAAAGAGTCTTAAAAGGTGAGTCCTATTAATCCGGCACACGCTGGTCCCACAGTATAAGACCCTGAAGGCTGAGAACGATCTGAGCGCTCAGCAGGATTGTTAGCTAAAACATCACATCACACCGACTCTCGTTTAAACATCACATCACACCGTCTCTCGTTTAAACATCACATCACACCGTCTCTCGTTTAAACATCACATCACACCGTCTCTCGTTTAAACATCACATCACACCGACTCTCGTTTAAACATCACATCACACCGACTCTCGTTTAAACATCACATCACACCGACTCTCGTTTAAACATCACATCACACCGACTCTCGTCTAAACATCACATCACACCGACTCTCGTCTAAACATCACATCACACCGACTCTCGTCTAAACATCACATCACACCGACTCTCGTCTAAACATCACATCACACCGACTCTCGTCTAAACATCACGCCAGCCGTCGACCAGCACAGACTGACCGCACATACTGACCCTAGCCAGCACAGACTGACCGTCAGCCAGGACAGACTGACCGTCAGCCAGGACAGACTGACCGTTAGCCAAGGCGGTGACAGAGTCGTCGGCGAGGTCGGCGTGGTGGCGGATGAACGTCTCGATCGACTCCACCAGCTCCGACGGCATGCCGCCGCCCTGCTTGCCGCTCGCCATGCCGCGTGGCTCGCCGCTCGCGCCCTGGTCACTCCTGACATTGTCACCTCCCGCTGGGGTTCGCCTAGAGGGCACGCGTGCGGACCTTGCCACCATCACGAGGGCTCTGGGGGTAATATTTAATGGAATTCGTAGGCGTAGACGGAACTTGACGGATTTCGTGACGATTTTGATGAAGTCGATGGTCGAGCGTCAATTCGGCGTTTGTATGGCGTCCTACGATTTGAAGAGTTTCAGACGGCACGCTTATCGCACAGCGTGAGGAGCAAGCCTGAAGGACTCCTACGACTGCAGTTCTGGTCAGTTCCCCCGACCATTCGAACGCTCTGGTAACTTGGCACATGTCAAAAGGTTATCGGTCCCAGCATTTGATCACACGTGTTTTTTGAGTCGACTCAAAACACGTTCCCAGCATTCGATGACACGCGGTCCCTCTGATGCACACTGGCTCGTGTCATGGTATTGCTAGAACAAAGCAGGTAAGCCCGTTTCTGCCTAGCTCCAAACACTGCTATGATATGGAGCCGTGGATGGCGCCTTCACTGTCACTGAGAGATTATCTGGCTCCCTGTTTCTGGCAGTCTTGAAGGAGGCTGGCTGGCTGGCGGTGGATGCATAAGTGATTCTGGGACCAGCCAGGCCAGGATGTCTGCCAGATGTTTCGAAATGTCACTGAAAGTGGGCAATAATTGAAATACTGTACTACAGTAAGTTTGGTGTTCTTGAGCCAGACATCGATTATGCTTTTGTTGTTTGTGCGACTCAGAAATTGCCGAGCACATTTGGATTCTGCCTGCACCCTGCAACTCTCCACACATCCGATGAATTTCTGCCCTCAACCCCACCTCCAGCATCCCTTCCCCCTTACCACCGCCATTTGGATTCCCAGCCACCATTTCTAGACCATCCAATCAACCTCGGCATTTCCGCCAGAATAGCCAGCGCATCCCCATCCCAGCTGCAGCGACCATTCTCTCGCGTCTTGGAAATCACAAATTCCCACGAAATGTTCGCCTGCGCAGCAGCCGCGCCCTCCGTTCCTTCCTCGCTGCGGGTCGCAGACTCCGCGCGCTCTGCTCGCAGCCACGCTCCATGCAATGCGCCGACTCTCAAACACTGGAGCTGCTCTTCCGCGCGCGCGGCTATCTATCCTCGCTTTAAGCTATCTGACCGGGAAAACGGGATGGGAGCGTCCCAGTTGGGTTCCAACAGGTCGGCATGCTTCCAAGGCGCGTCTCGCATCTCCTGCCAGGCTCATGCTCAGGCTGCTGAGAGGCGAAACTCCCAGAAACGGCAAGTTGGCGTCATCCATCCCCCTGACAGCCGTACTGTCTCCACTTTCCACTAATCACCCTTCGCCATACCTCTACTTCCCTGTCCTCGTGATGCCTTGTTACCCTGTAACCACATTCTCTGTCACCTTGTTGCCCAGTTTTCTCCCCTCAATGCTACTCACTTGCCCTTGCCCTCTCCTTGCCCTTCACTATCCACTAACAGGCCGCCACGTCTCTCCACCCACGCATCTATAGACGCCTTCGTGATCGCAGTCGAGGACACACTCCTTAACCCCTCCTCCCAGCACCTCCTACCGCCAGCAGCCGAGGCTCTTAAATCCACCTCCCTCCCCTTCTACCTCCTCACCTCCTCCTCCTCCTCGGTCTCTCCTGCTGACGTCAGCATGTTCTTAAAGCGAGATGCTGGGGTGGATATTCCCGAGGACTCTCCTCGGATCATGATGGCTGGCAGGGGAGGTGGAGGAGAGGGGAAGCTGGCTGCTCTTTTATCTGTAAGTAGATATTCCCGAGGACTCTCCTCGGATCATGGTGGCGGGGGGGGGAGGTGGAGGACGAGAGGGGGATGGCAAGCTGGCTGTGCTTCTTGCTGTATGTGGACCCTTCAAGCATTCACTACAATATGGATGCTTCATTTCACTGCATCATCCTTCGCCATCCCTTCCCATCCCATCCCATCCCATCCCATCCCATCCGATCCCATCCCATCCCATCCCATCCCATCCCATCCCATCCCATCCCATCCCATCCCATCCCATCCCATCCCATCCCATCCCACCCCACCCCATCCCATCCCATCCCATCCCATCCCATCCCATCCCATCCCATCCCATCCCATCCCATCCCATCCCATCCCATCCCATGCAATCTCATGCAATCACATGCACCCACCACAGGTCAACAGCCGGCCTCTAGCCCAGGACCCAGCCAACACCATGCATTACATCGATGCCGATCTCACTGCTCTCAACCGTGCCGCCAGCCAACCAGAGCTCGCCAGGTGGCAGCTGTACCACGCGCAGTGGAGCGAGGGAGCAGGGAGCAACGAGGGGACGCGTGATCCTCGCATCAAGCCGATTGTGTGAGTGACCTGGTGCCCGGTTTCTCGCCTCTGTGCCCGGTTAACTACAGTATAGGCCTCTCTTGCACCAATCTGTATTCCGCTTTTGACCCACTTGTTCTCTCTGCATGTCCTCCATTGCTGCCTCTACCAATCAGGCTCAAGGATTTTGACGAGCTTCTCAGGTGGGGTCTGCTCATGGGAGTGAACGACGGGTGCCAGGAGTATGAGGACGGCACGCCAGCTACGTGACACAGCGGCACCATTGCAACAGGGTACAGTAATATCTGTCGTAATATTAATAAGTCATAATCAACCCCAAGGACCTGGCTGAGCTTTTCCTAAGGATTTGCTGATGGGATCTTGGGATGGGAGTCAGCAGTGGCTGTGCTGCATGCCAGGAGTACGAATGAAGGCGGCATGCCGGCTGCACAGCTTGTGGTTGCAGTTAGAACAGAGCAGAGAAGATTCTGAGCATATCTACCAAATCAACTACAATACCATTTCCGGTGTAGGTACTTCTCTTGTTTGTTCTGCTGCCTCGGCTTGAGCCCCGTGAGGCGATTTCCATGAAGTTGGATGCAAGTAGGTGCAAAGGCGGCTTTTCTGAATCCCCTCTGGAGTTGTGCTCTCTCTCAAGGGGGGCCTATTTTCTTGAGGTCTGCTAGTGCCTCAGCTCTCAGCCACACGAAGCGATCAGCCTTGATAGTCCCTGAGGAGCAGAAGTAGATGCAGTCGGGGTTCTTCCTCATGCCCTCTGGGTCGGCGCACTTCACTGCTGCTGGGTCCGTTGTGTTGGCTGGCGACTCGAGCATGGGGCTGGGGAAAAGGAGGGGAAGAGAAAGAGCAACAGAACAAGCACGGATCACTCGACTAGCCGACTTCCTCACGCCCTATAGGTCCGCACGCTTCATTGCTGCGGGGTCCGTTACGTTGGCTGGGACTGAGGCTAGGGCGCAGAACGGCTGAAGTTAGTCGCACAAGACACGATTACTCGTGTGCTCGAGATCCGCACACTTCACTGCTGCTGGGCCCATTGCATTTGCGAAGCACAGGAAAGGATCGCTCACGACTTATCACAGGACTGATCCTTTGGGAGCTCGGTATTTGTCTCGGGTTCTCCAGCGCCCCGTCGTGCTTCACGACCAGCAGAGAGGAGAAAAATAGAACGAGCAACAGCAACCAGTAGAGGGTGCTGTGCCGATCCATGCAAGCAGCAACAATCGCAAAGAGCACTCCCTTTTTATCACAGATCTGCTCCCTTGGCGGCTCTGTTAGTGCCTCAGGGTTCTTGAGCGTGTGGAGGTATATGACGAGCAGCAGAGAGTGAAGAGAGCAGCAGAGAGCGAATTGAGCAGCAGAGGGCGAAGAGCGAAGCAGAGGGCGAAGAGAGCAGCAGAGGGCAAAGAGAGCAGCAGAGAGCGAAGAGAGAAGCAGAGGGCGAAGAGAGCAGCAGAGGGCGAAGAAAGCAGCAGAGAGCGAAGAGAGCAGCAGAGGGCGAAGAGAGCAGCAGAGGGCGAAGAGAGCAGCAGAGGGCGAAGAGAGCAGCAGAGGGCAAAGAGAGCAGCAGAGGGCGAAGAGAGCAGCAGAGGGCGAGGAGAGCAGCAGAGGGCGAAGAGAGCAGCAGAGGGCGAAGAGAGCAGCAGAGTGTAATAGCACCCAACTTTTACCGCAGACCTGATCCTTGGTGGGCTTGGTGATGGCGTCGGGGTGCTTGAATGCATGGTGGTACTTGACGAGCAGCAGCCCACAGTGGAGCGAGCAGCAGAGAGAACAGCAGAGGGTGCTGCAGAGAGAGCGAGCAGCAGAGTGAAGAGCAGCAGATAGACCACACTCGCCTTTTATCGCAGATCTGATCTTTTGTCGGCTCGGTGATTGCCTCGGGGTTCTCGAGTGTGTGGTGGTACTTGACAAGCAGCAGCCCCCAGTAGAGTGTCCTGCCTGTCCACGTGCACGCGTACGATGCGAACTGGTTTGCCGCCTGCACCAGCCGCTGCACCTCCTCGTCGTTCTCCTGCGCCCATCTGACCTTGTCAGGCAGATCCGAGAAACTGCATTGGTTGACAGAGGTAGGGGGGGAGAGACAGTGACGGGAGTTGGATTGGCACTTTGAGCCGCTTGCACCAGCCGCTGCACCTCCTCGTCATTCTCCTGCACCCATCTAGCCTTTTCAGGCAGGTCTGAGAAGCTGGGGTGAGCAGGGAGGAGGGAAGGGGAGGGAAGGGAGGAGGGAAGGGAGGAGGGGAGGGAGGAGGGAAGGGAGGAGGGGAGGGAGGAGGGAAGGGAGGAGGGAAGGGAGGAGGGAAGGGAGGAGGGAAGGGAGGAGGGTGAGGGGGCAGGGCATGAACCACTTGCCCCCCCCATGAGCCGCTTGCACTAGCAGCCTTCACCTCGTTGCTGTTCTGCATTCACATGCGACAAAAGGGTTTTTTTTAGAAAGGAACCAAAGCGCCAAAGAAAAAGAAAAAAGAGAAGGAAACAAAAAATTCGATTGCTTGAAGTGCTCACATGCAAGGCCTTGTGAGCCAGTGCACTTCATCATACAGCTGCAATAGCGGGGGTTCACCCAAGTACTTCATGGGTGGTGGTGGGGGGTATAGACCAAAGTGCTGACGTGGGTAGTGAAAAAATAAGAGAAAAACAAACCATCTGACACTCACGTGCAGGTGGTGGTCAGCCAGTGCACTCACGTGCGGGTGGTGGTGAGCCAGTGCACACGGTCCGTCAGCAGCGGCTCATAGAACTGGAAGACGGGCGTCTCCTGGCGGATGCTCAGCTGGTTGGACCGCAGCACCCCGCACGTGCGGCAGCTGCCCCCGCCCCCGTCCACGATGACCTGGTACTTGAACGCATTGAACTGTGTGAAGTTCATTCTCGGTGCCAGCACCACCCCCTCGCTCGTCATCTCAGCTTGGGCTGGCCCACGGGAGTGCGACCACCTGAGGGGGTCGTGGAGCATGGAAACAGGGGAAAGGTGATGGCTGAGGCGAATCCGAGGAGGCACGTCCCCTGTGTGGAGGAAATGAGTGGTCAAGAGCTGCCCCTGTCCACCACCGCCTGGTACTCGAGGGAGAGGAGGGAGGGAGAGAGAGAGCACACATTGAGGCAGCTGCCCCCGCCCCGGTCCACCACCACCTGGTACTTGAAGCAGAAATTGAAGGAAAAGTGGGCAACAAGCAGAAGGGCAGAGAAGAAGGCAAGAGTGGGCATTCCACAGAAATGCAGAGAGGCAGTAGTCAAAAGACAGCTCGGAAAGCTCTTGTGCTCATTCACAGCGAAGCACTCACTTGTTGATGTGGGCGTCCATGAGGGCGGGGTGGGCATCGGAGATGCGGTGCAGGCGCACGCGAGGGTTGGCCCCCCAGTTGCCGTTGACCAGCTGGTACGACGTGGTCTTGCCTCGGAACACAGCGCGCGACTCCTTGCGCTCCCAGGGGATCTGAGTGGGGTGAGGGAAGAGATTGGGCGGTCAAGTCATGTAGGTCATGAGCCATGTCAAGGGCGTGGTCTTGCCTTGGAACACAGCGCGCGACTGCTTGCGCTCCCAGGGGATCTGAGCGGCGAGTGAGGGTTTGAGAGCTATGAGTTATCAGTTATGAGTCATGTCATCATGCACTCCCAAGGAAACTGATGGGTGAGCGGTCGAGGCGGCACGAGGCATGGGGATGCTGTGCAAAAGGACACGCCTTAAAGCACATCTCACTGCAAACATCTCTCCTGCCTGTGTGGCCGGGCCAAGAAAGCAGTTCAGCCGAATTCAGGCGAGCAGCGATGGGGATATCCCTCCTTGGTGCCGGCAGTGAAGCCAGTGCGTGGCTAGGTCTAGCACGAGGCAGCATTCCCCACGGCCCACAGGCCACAACACATGGCTCTCTCTCCTTCCTGTGTGGCAAGGTCCGGCGTGTAGCCCTCAGTCAGGTCCAGCAGATCAGGAATGGGGATGTCCATAGATCTGGCAGTGGAACCGGTGCTCATGATGGGGATGCTGTTCAGAACGAAACCAAGTGCTTCCCCTTACTTGTGTGGCCAGGTCCGGCGTGTAGTCTTCAGTGAGGTCCAGCGGGTCTGGCACGGGGATGTCCATGGTGTCGGCAGTGAACCCGGTGCTCATCATGGGGATGCCGGCGCGGTCATCAAAATGGCTGCTGTAGAACGCCATGGGGTGGTCGCACGTGCTCACGTACAGCTCTATGCGTAGGTCCACCAGCTGGTACCGCACCACCGCGTCCTGAGGTTTTTTTTGGGGGGAGGGGGTGGAAGGGAGGGAGGGGGGGGGGGGGATGTGGAGGTTTGGGAGCAGGACGGTAGTGGGCTGATTCAAAAGGCACGTGTTCACATACAGCACAATGCGCAGGTCCACCAGCTGGTACCGAATCACCGCGTCCTGAGGGGGGGGATGTGTGGAAGGTTCAGGAGAGGACGTTAGTGTGTCGAAGGGCATTCAAGGGATACGTTTTCACATGCAGCATCGTGCCTGTTTGCAGGAAGCGGTTGAGGCGGTAGTACTCACGGAAGAAGCCCCCCTAGCGGAAATACACCTTGCCATGGAACTGACCAAATTAACTGATACATTCCTCCCTCCTGGTCAGCGCCGACCAGCGTTGACCAGCGTTGACTCACGTGGATCATTTTTACGGTCTGCAGGAAGCGGTTGAGGCGGTAGTACTCATGGAAGAATCCGCCGTAGCGGAAGTAGACCCTGCCGTTGATGATCTTCACGTGCCCCGCACACGACATGATGGCGGGCGTCTTGCCCATCCGCGTGAGCGCCCCTGTGGTTACCAGGCCCGTCCTTCCCACTCCGGATGTCAGATTCTGGTGAACATGAAGAGAAAGACCGGGGGGGGGGAGGGGGTTGGGGGGGGGGGGGGTGGATGAGGTAGGCATTCATGGATGGGGAGTATGGATGGCGCGAGGAGCACGGTGGCTGGCGCCTTGCCAATTTAAAAGAGCGCCTGCATCCCTCCCAGGCGAATCTTGCCGATTTCTAATGGCAGGTTCCGAACAGTAATTACAACAACCCAAGTGTCACAGATCGGAGATGCTGAGTCAGGGGGAACTGACCTTGATGGGCCGCCACGGTTCCAGGTACTTGTGGATCAGCTGCAGGTACTTAACCGCCATGGGCTGAGTCAACACCAGCCGCTTATACTGCGGCAGCCGGCCCAGGAGGTCGGCGTCCGACGGCCGGAATTCGCGGGGAACGGGACACGTGCCTTGCGTAGCGGCCCTAGATTTCATCTCGTCCCACACGTCACGCGCTCCCCACCCGAGAATGACCAGAAACCCCATCAGCAGCACGAGCAGCGACCCGAACTGGTCCATGGATAGGCGCGCCAGGCCTAATCGCACCAACACTCTGTGGTACAGCGATCCTCCGTGGTGCGCGCTGCCGAAGCCACGTGGACTGCCAGCCTGGCGGAACATCCCCTCGTCGTACGACCCCATGCGATTGTGACCGCCAGTAGGGCTGTGTGCTTCGTGTCCGTGGCCGTGCTCGTGATCATCATCGTCGTCGTCGTCGTATTCTCGAGGGCTTCGACCTCTAGTCGGGCTTCGACCTCTGGTAGGGCTTCGACCTCTGGTAGGGCTTCGAGCTCCCGTCGCTCGCTCCTTGAGGTGCTGGCTGCTGCTGTACCCTGCGACGGATCGACCGCTCGCTGTCGCCATGTGTGCGAATGTGGCGATTGGTATACGTTGATTCGTCGCTCCAAGCTGCCAGGTCGAACGCAATGTCGCTCCTACTAATGCGGCTACAGCTGACCGATTGTAGAGGCTCGCGAGTGTAGTTAATTTCCCGCTGCAGGAGATGTTGTGAGAAATGAGCCGCTATGGTGCGATCCCTGTTTGTAAAATGCCATGCAGGTCTATTGCCGTGCGAACGCTGCGAGCTCACTGATCTGGAAGCTTCACTGTCGGAATCAAGGCTAGTGCAAACGTCCTAGCACCGAAAGCACCACCTTATGGCCATTTCCACGCGAACTCGCAACGCGAGCGTCTGTGATGGACTTCAGTCCGAGATCGCATTGCATGTATTTCAACTAGTACTGCTGAACGGCTAGCTCCAAAGGTGGAACGCGATAAGCTTATCAGGCGACGATCTCTAGGCTTGAATCGAAAGTGGGGTGGTTTGGTTTGGAGGGAGAATGAGGTTGAACAGGCGACAATCTCGAGGCTTCCAATTCCAGATTCCTGTTTTGCCTGATCAGGCAATTCCCAAGGTCGTTGGCTTGGCACAGGGCCTGGCAGCCCGCAGGTGCTACGACAACTACGAAAAGATGGAATGACGACCGTTACGATTCCATTCGCGAAGACTTTGCTGCTCGCAATGGAACTGGTGCTGAAGACCCATTGGCTGGTTCTGCCTCGCCGATCAGTTACCATGGGGTGCTTTATGCGACCACTGGAGTGGTTTCGCTGCATGCTAAAGCATGTTTCGCGAATCCACAATACATCCGATAGGTGCCTCCAGCTCCATCCGATGTTAGAAACAAGTCAGTAATATCTAGAGTACATAGAAGTAATAACCTGACTGCCTCAGAAGGTTGCCATGCTATGGGTTTCATGAAAGCAGCACATCAGCTTGCTTCATATATAGCAGCTGCAGATACTACCAGATCAACCACCCAACATCACTGCTCTGCTGCCAGTGGCCATCACTGTTCTGCTGCTCCGCTGCTCTGTAGCTCGTGTCTGCTCTGCTGCCTTTGCTCGAGCGTGATTAGGCAACTACTTCTGTGCATAAGAGCCTAGCAGATGCCATCCGGCCTCTTCTGTATCCCTCCTGAAACCATGCGCTCTCTCTCAAGGGGGTCCAACTTTCTCGGGTCCACCAGTGCCTCCGCTCTGAGCCACACAAAGCGGTTGGCCCTGATGGTGCCGGTGGAGCAGAAGTAGATGCAGTCCGGGTTCTTCCTCTCGCCCTCTGGGTCCGCACACTTCACTGCTGCTGGGTCCGTTAAAATGGCTGGCTGCTCGAACAAGGGGCTGAGAAGGGAAGGGACATAGACGTGTTTTGCTTAGCTTGGGGTCATTGATTCCTCTTGTGCTGGGCCCATTGCGTTTGCTGTGGACTGGGGGATAAAGAACTGGAAGGAGCAGGGGGGCGTACACGCTCTACGGCACAGTGTAATAGGGTAACCAGCACCTTGAGGCCTCAAGAAATTTAAGAAGCAGGGATAACCAATGTCTTGAGCTCGGACCGAGCAACGCAAGGAGCAACGAATGGAACGAGCACTCACGTCTTGTCGCAGATCTGAGCCTCTTTGGGCTCTGTGATTGCCTCGGGGTTCTGGAGTGCGTGGTGGTACTTGACTAGCAGCAGGCCCCAGTAGAGCCTCCTGCAGGACCACGTGCACGCATACGATGCAAACTGATGTGCTGCCTGCACCACCCGCTGCACCTCCTTGTCACTCTCCTGCGCCCACCGCACCTTCTCAGGCAGGTTTGAGATACTGGAGTGAGAGGTGAGAAAGTAGAGTGAAGAGAGACAATTTAGCACTTTGAGCTGCTTGCACCACCCGCTGCACCTCCTCGTCCTTCTCCTGCGGCCACCGTACCTTCCCTGGCAGGTCTGAGAAGCTGATGGGAGGGGGGGAGGGGTTGGTGGGCGATGGATAGGTACTCTGGGGTGCATGCACCAGCCACCGCACAGAAAAAAGAGAAGGAAAATAACGGAAGCAAAGAGGAATAGAAGCATGAGACGAAAGTGGGTTTGAGAGTTATGAGTTGTGAGTCATGCGTCTCAGAAACAAACCTGGAGTTGAATCATGAGACGAAAAAGGCACCTGGCTCAAGTGCAAAGAGAAAGGCGGAAGAAGAAAACCATAGGGAAATATAGGGTGGAAGTTTGATCAGCTCTCCCGTGGTGAGTTGGCATATTAGTTGAAATAAGGGGAAACTTTTACCAGATGAGATTGGGATCAAATATGTGCATCTTACCCACTCCTTGATATGAAATATTGTACAAAAATATTGATAGTCTAAATAACAGAAGGTGATCTTAAGGCATATGAAGGAAGAAAGAGGGTTTGAGAGTTACGACTAGGAGGGGTGGGAGGGACGTGGGGTCAAGGAAATTTGGGTTACCATTGTCCCAGGCAATCAGTTCTCCCAGATGTGGATCAAAGGAGAGGTAAAATACTCCTGCCTTGGGACCTTAAAGCCCGAATCCCAAATTGTGTGCCACGCTGTTCAAGCTGTAGAAGCTTGAAATCTGAAAATTTGGGGGCTCTTTTTTTCATGAAACTAGGATTACGCGCATGGCGAAGGCACCTGATTGGCGAGAAACTTGACTGGGGGGTTTGCGTGGGTTAGGTTGCGAGAACTTGAAAGTGGGGTCAGTGCAATTTGGGACTTTTGCAACTCTACAAAGTTCTCGTCCCCTGTGGATCGCTGACTTAGCGAACACAATAACTCTCGCCATTTTTTTCATGAAACCAAACCTCTCGTCACTCCAAACCCACCTACCTAATACTTGTCATGTTTCTGAAGCATGAACAATTTGGGCTGCTGGATTTAAGGGCGAAAAGTGAGATCATGGGGCATGTGGATGACATGTGTACCTGTTTGGCCAGGTGAGGTCAATCGGATCCGGTACGGGGATGTCCCTTGGTGTCAGAAGTGAAGCCAGTGCTCATCATGGGGAGGCTCATCCTAGGGAGGCTCATCCTGGGGAGGCTAATCATGGGGACGTCGTTCAGAGCAAAACCGAGAGTTTCCACCTACCTGAGCAGCCAGGTCGTGCACGTAGTCTTCAGTCACATCCCGTGGATCAGTAATGGGGATGTCTATGGTGTCGGCAGTGAGCCCCATGCTCATCATGTCATGCTGCATGCATTTTGCGAAACCTAGAGTCTCTAGATACCTATGTGGTGAGGTCTGGCGTGTAGTCCTCAGTCACATCCAGCGGGGCCGAAATGGGGATGTCCATGGTGTCAGCGGTGAACCCGGTGCTCACCATGGCATGCTGCATGCATTCTGCTAAACCTGGAGTCTAGAGGTACCCGTGTTGCTAAATCTGGCGTGTAGTCCTCAGTCACATCCTGCGAATCCGAAATGGGGATGTCCATGGTGTTGGCAGTGAACCCCGTGCTCATCATGGGGATGCCGGCGCGGTCATCAAAATGGCTGCTGTAGAACGACATGGGGTGGTCGCACGTGTTTACATACAGCACTACATGTAGGTCCACCAGGTGGTACCGGATTACCGCATCCTGACGGAGGGGAGGGGGGGGGGACGGGGGAGAGGGAGGTGGAAACAGAAGGTTCGGGAGATGGCGCTTGTGTATTGAAGAGCATTCAAGGGGCACGATTTCACGTACAGCTCTACATGCCAGTCCACCAGCTGGTACCGCACCGCACCACACTGCCACGCCTTGAGGGGTTGGATGGGAGAGGTAGCAGTGAGGGTGGGTATGTGGGGTGGTCGCACGTGTTCACGTACAGCTCTATGCGCAGGTCCACCAGCTGGCACCGGATCACCACGTCCTGTAATAGGAGTGATATGGAGGGTTGGAGACAGGGCGTTAGAGTGTTTATTCAAGTGTCACAGGATCGAATGTGTCGAGGAAAGGTTGCACTATCGATCGGTACAAGGCGTTTTTATACTTCCAGAGTACATCAGGTAACCAGGTTTATCTTATCCTAAGGGAATAGACCCTTCTAGAAGATAGAATCACCCTGCGTATAGCCACGTGAGGCTATTGGCTTTAAGGGATTACGGCAGGATTACGCTGGATAACGTCTCTAGTACATTCCATGCCTGGTCGGTGATATAATTATAATAAAGGAAGAGACCAAAGGATAATGGAAAATGGAAAATAGGAAACCAAATGAGATGCGGTAAAACGAGAAATGAAAAGGGAAGGAAATAAGAAAAGGCCAAGTGGTGTAACGGGGTCGTACTCTCACATCAAGGGCCCCGCATTTCCGCAAGCCGCTCAACAAGCACCGCACCACCGTGCCGTGAGGTATTTCTTGGGGGAGGGAACGTGTGTGGTGCAGGGGCGAGGGAGGGAGAGATGAGGTGTGTCCACTGCGCTTGACCCATGAATGGTCCTTCACCAGTATTAGAGTTGACCCATGAATGGTCCTTCACCAGTATTACAGTTGACCCATGAATGGTCCTTCACCAGTATTAGAGTTGACCCATGAATGGTCCTTCACCAGTATTAGAGTTGACCCATGAATGGTCCTTCACCAGTATTAGATTTGGCCCATGAATGGTCCTTCACCAGTATTAGAGTTGACCCATGTCAAGCAGTTGACCGTCGCCATGATTATCTTTGACTCACACATCTTTCTGGCCATGTCAACTCATCCAGGTTACTTGACCAACATTGACCAGCGTTGACTCACTTGGATCATTTTGACTGTCTGCAGGAAGCGGTTGATGCGGTAGTTGCAGTTCCAGAAGCCGCTGTAGCGGAAGTAGACCCTGCCGTGGATGATCTTCACGGCCCCGCACACGATATGATGGCCGGTGTCTTGCCCATCCGGGTGAGCGCCTCCGTGGCCACTAGGCCCATCCTTCCCACTCCGGATGTTAGATTCTTGTGAGAAGAAAGGGGGGTGGGTGGGGTGCATGAGTTAGGCATTCATTCATGAGGAGTATGGAGCGAGGAGCACTGTGGCTGGCGCCTTGCCCATCCGGGTGAGCGCCTCCGTGGACACCAGGCCCATCCTTCCCACTCCCGAGGTCAGATTCTGGAAATTGCGGGATGCAACGTGCAGCGGGAGATGTGCAGTCAGGGAAGAGAGGAGCATGATCGCTGATGTCTTGCCCATCCGGGTGAGCGCCTCTATGGACACCAGTCCTGTCCTTCCCACTCTAAATGTCAGATTCTGGTGAAGATCAAGGGAGAGCAAGATTGAGGGAGAGGAAGGGGGATGTAGTGTAGGATATGGGGAGGTGAAAGTTAGGTAGGTGCACAAGGAATGGCGGCTTCGGGAGGGAAGGTGGTGATCGAGTGCAGGGACTGCAGATAGGAACGGACTCACGATGTGCACAACGTGCTGCTCGTTGATAACTTGCTAATTTGTAGACGAAAGAGCTGGGCATTGGACAATAAACGCCCTGAACATTCAACCTAACCATACACACGCATTGACAATACTAGCATACGTGATGCTCCAGGGTGCATTCCTCCCTGTACTGACCTTGATAGGCAGCCACAGTTCCAGGTACTTGTGGATCAGTAGCAGGTATTGAACCGCCATGGGTTGAGTCAACACGGATCGCTTATACTGCTGAATCCGGCCCAGTAGCTCTTCATCCGACGGCCGGAATTCACCGGGAATAAGACACCTGCCCTCCCAACCAGATAACGAGCAGCAACCCCATTAGAAGCACACACAGCGTCCCAGGCTCGTCCACGGATAGCCGCGCCAGGCCTAGTTGCGTCAACACTTTGTTGTACGGCGATCTGACGTGGTATGCGCTGCCGAAGCCACGTGGACTACCAAATTGGTTGAACATTCCATCGTCCAGCAATCTCATGATGCAATTGCGACCGCCAGTCGCATCTGTTGCAGAACCGTGCGCCGGTTCGTGACTAACTCGGTGTCCATGCTCATGCTTGTCGCCATCCGACGAGTGGTCATGGTAATCTTTAGGGCCTTCAGGGCTTCGAGCTCTATGGCTTCTTGTAGGGCTCGAAGTACGAGCTCTAATTGGGCTTTGATCTCTAATAGGGCTTCAATCTCTAGAAGGGCTTTGAGCTCTATGAGGGTTTCGAGCTCCCCTGGCTCGCTCCTTGCGGTGCTGCAAGCTGCTGTATCCTGCCACGGACCGACCCTCCGTAGCCACCATCATGCGTGTTTTGGTCATCTCGAACTAAGCTCTTCTTGAATCGAAGCATATTTTAGGCGGACCGCAAGGAATATTGAGACAAATTTTATTTTCAGGTAGTTGAATCGCAGAGTCAGATGAGGGTCATGATCTCATCAGATAAGAGCGCTAGGCTGTCAGATCGACGCTAATGTCGTTCCCACTAATTTGGATGACTATGTCTACTAAATGACTATGTCTCCTACATTTCAGCCGTCGCCGCACACAGATGCCTGGAGCCATCACAAGAGACAGGTCACGAATATTGCAGGGATTCTGTAGGAAAACCGGCAAATCCCACGGGAAACCAGCGGAAATTGCTTGGTTCTCGGTATGGAACATGATTAGTGGACTGTATGCTTCGTTTTCGGTTTCGGGACAGATTTTTGGGCCTAGCCACGTGCGTCCGCATTCTGACGAGTTTCCGTAGGATTTCAAAAGGTTTTCCGCACAGGTGCGACTCGGCTCGGCTGGGACAATCAGCTTTAAATGAGATAAGCAGCACATGTACGATCTACATCTAATAATCTAGCGGTTGGACGATGTAGGCTGGTATTGTAACAATAATGTCAGCGTCCAAGTTGTACGTCCACCATTTCCTTTTTGTCCTCCCCTTCCCCCCTCCCTCCCCCCCCCCCTCATTTTTTCCCTCACACGAGCTCGCAATGCGAACGCCCTTTTCTCATTGTCGTCAGTTTTTGCACTATTACTGTGTCTGTCACCATGACACTACAGAACTGATATTATACTACTCACTGGTTCGTGCTTAGCAGAAACCAAAATAGTGGCGGAAGTTCCTTGTTGGAAACTTGTGTCAGGAAGGAGACGGCAATCCAATGGCTGCCATTCCGAATTCCAAGGCCTTGTTCGATTGATTTCGGCAAGCTCAACCGTAAATCAGAAAAGACAAACCGTGTTTCACGGAGAAAACGTTTGTCCCTTCGTTTTGGGGACCAGCGATCCACCATGGTTGGGCCAGCACTGTTGGGGCAGCGTGAGGACGCCTGCTTGTATGAATCGTAGAGCCTCCCAATAGCCCCAAACCTCGTTAGTTGGCCACGTTCAAATTAGGCCGTGTCCGTAGAAATGACATGTCATTTCTGAAGGGTCACGTGATTCGATTTGACTCTTGACAACATTGTTTACAGAGTGTCAATTTCACATGGACCTAACGACCAATACAATTTATCGAATCACAAGCTGACAGAAATGTGGAGCTGTTGCCAGTCAACCAAATTCGTCGCTGCGAATTACTTGACCAACTACTCCCGCCCAATCAACGAAAGGCCGGCATGATGCGTCGACATGCATTGGTAAAATTTCCCTGCCAACAATGTTGATGCAACTCGACTTCTGAAGGATCGTCGTTTTAAGTCGGTGTTGGCCAATGAGCAACCTTCGCAAATTTTTGTGCACGCAAATCGATTTGACACAGCAGCTACAGTGTTTAACCCCCAAACTTGGGCGCGCTCCGGTTTGACACAGCCAAACGTAACATGCCATTCCTGCGAACGCCACCTTACCAGCATATTTTTTCACCAGAGTTCGACGTTGCTTTTCCCGTATTGGTGTTCCCTGATTTTTTTGTTCTTTGTTGGAAATGCATCGGTGGAAACCATGTTGTCATCCTGTCGTTATTGTGCACTGTTGGTTTGACCTAAGCAGTTATCAGTTTGGATTCTCTTCCTACGCGATCAGATTATCCGCACATGCGGATTCATTGTCTTTTCCTAATTCTGGTTCGGTAGGAGAACCTTCGTTTCCGCGCGACTCAGCCTGGCATGGCGGGTTCCTGGAGGGCCAATCAAGTAGCCTCCAAATTTCGCCCTTTAGAATGACAGCCATGAATTTGCCATCAGATTCCAAGCTGAACCATCCTCCTTGGGTTTGAGAAATTGATGACTCCACAGATGACCAAAAGGTCGTTCGTCTGCGACATTTTCAATGGAGTTTCGGCAAAAGTCGGCATGCGGAAGCTCCGTGGATTCTTCATCCGACAGCCACGCCTCTCGAAATGAAGGTGTGCGACCTTTGACGTCATAATGCGATGAGGTCGCCGAGGTCAGGAATATCCAAACCTCAGTCCACCAAATCACACGCCACTTAAACGTCGAATTTGAAGCGCGCCATCTTGCCGCCCAGGGCTGCCTGGCAAATTGCAGCCCACTCCCCTTCCTCTCGCCAAACCACAAAAGAGTGGTTTAGGCCCTTCAGCCCACTCCCTTGCCACTCTCACATTGTCGAGCTAGGCATGCCAAAAATAAAAATTAAAAATACAAAACAAAACACCAGCTTCACACACATCCATATGCGGAATTTAACGTGACAGCCAGCAAGCACTTACGTCCACACTAATTAGCATCTCATAAACGTTGGAGAAAAAATCCGACCAACCAAACCTCTTACTAGCCATTATTTTTCCAAAAAGGTTCAACGTCCCATCTTTGAAATAGCGGTCCCTTTGATGGGCTCAACTGTTCAGTATCGGCACCCTTGTTTTACTCAGTCCGGCTGTTTTGACCGTGACAATAATGAATCTTGACTGTCATAATTCGCGGTCCATACGGGCACGAAAAAAGTTCGACCTGTAAACTTCCAATCCCCTGTAAAATTGCCGCACACGTCTCTTCCTGCTCCGCTCCACAATGGCTGCGTTCTACATGCACGAAAGGAAAGTGCAGATTACATTAGAGCACCTTCCGAAAGCGAGATTTTTTGCTTCGGATCGAGGGTCAGCCCGCAAAATGTTGCCTAAACCTGACACAAGGTACCCGAACCTAGTTACATTAACATGCCTGCATAACAGGTCCCGTACAGATGACATCTACGTCAGGGAAACACCCCTCCCCGCTTCTCTCCCTGGCAAATCTGACGCAATGCTAACGTTCGATCAATCGCGGAGTTCACCTTGCGTGTGGCGTTATATCAATCGCAAGGGTGTACTAGGCCTCCACACCCCAAAAAAACCAGTGCCACCACTTTACCCCACCTCTCGAACTTGGGCCTACCCTGCAAAACAACCGCAGCTAAAAAAACCCATCCCCAAAGAGAGTTGTATGGCTGACCAAACCTTAGGTTATTTTATCGTCATTTTGTCCCGGAATATTTCTCTGCTGCCCTGGGGCAGCAGGTTTTTGTTGCGCATTTTTGAAATTCGCCGCTCTCTCCTTTCGCTTGCGCTTTCCACAATTTGGCCGCGTGGCTTCCAAGCGAGGTTTGGAAAGTGCACCTGGTTTGAGTGGTAACCAGTGTTCTCGAAGTCGCTTGCGGAGGTTCCTCAATGTCGACGTCGACGTCAACGTCAAATGCCTGTAGAACTCAGCCAATGTGCGGACGAACATCCCCCAAGACTGTTGCTGCTCTTCAATCGAATTTTGCAGCCTGCTGGCGCTAGCCCCAGGAATCCCAAATCTCAGGGACTCTTTCGAGGTCAACCGACCTTGAACAGTCATGCAATGGAGGTGGTGTGAAATCCCGATTCCATTGGCTGGATGCTTTCCTCGAAAATATATGGTTCGTTTCAAGGTACAGCCCGTATAAGACTCCGCAATTGCACACTCGTTGGAGGTATACGGAGCACGTAAACGTATTCAACATCTCTGGATAATAAGGCTCCGAACTTTTGTTCGCTCGGCTGTTCTAGTAACGATTCTTTGGACGAGCCGCAGGATGACCCTTTTGTCCCAGGGCTCCCAGCCAAGCCGCTCGCGTGGAACCTTGACTCCCGCGAGCAAAAAGTTCTTGTGTACGATGAAGCCCCTGATAAGAGCAACCTTCAACTTGACTACAACGAATTCCGAAGAAGCCACCAACCTCGAACAGGTTGCGCAAAATGATGGGGGCCGTTGATTACGACCAGATTTTTCATCGATGGCACAACTCGGAGCGAACCACAATGCGCGATGCGATAACGCGTGACCCCAAATCAGCGCCTCGTTCGTCTGCATCCAGCCTCACTCCACCCTGGCTGGAATCAGCCTTTCTCGTTTCTTCCACATTCCAGGTTTAGAATTCCGACTGCACACGTCTCAACGTCATTCTCATGACTGGTGTCTCTCACGCATTGCTCAACTGACTCCATAGACCTACCCGTGCACCTTCAGCGCTACTCTAGCATCCCCTAGCGCAAAGCCTAGACAGCATGTCAGACCGAAGCAACATCTCCGCGAGTGCGCGCAACCCGCTCTACGGCGGGCCGTCGAACAAATCCTTCACGCCCAACCGCACGCCCTCCTGGGCCTACAAGAACGGCGGAGACGCGGGCGATGGCAGCGACCAAGGCTCCCCAACCGCATCCCCCCTGCGCAGCCACCGCAGCCACGGCGCGCCGTCCCCGTACTACGCTCCGCAATACGAGAACCCAGGCTACACGGTCGAGACTCCCGGGCTCTACGACCCGTACATGAACTCCAGCGCCTCGTTCCACGGCAGCCACCTGTATCGCCCAACGGAAACCTACTTCGTCCAGACTCCCGCGCACTCGATGCGTAGCGCGCGCGTGAACGAGTCGCCGGAATCCTCGGCGCCGTCGTCGCCGCAGCACGCGGACGGGTACGCGGAGATGGGCGGCGGGAAGGGGTTTGGGAAGGACGGCGAGGAGGCGGTGTTCGACGACTCGGATCACGAGGAGGAGTTTTACCCCGACATCCAGAGGGAGAAGTTCCGCAAACGGCGCTTCCGGCAATTGTTTTGCGTGTCGTCGCTGCTGGTCGTGGCGGCGCTCGTCGTCGCGGGATGCATCATCGCGTGGGTGGTGTACCAGCCCACGCCACCGACATACACCATGGACGTACGTCAAAACAATCATCGAAATCCCTCGCCCCCGACATACACACTTGGCTCCCCACAGATTGCCGGCAATACAACCTCACGCTCATAATCCATCGGCAATCTGTCGGGGCTCCTTTCACCTTTCCGTTGATCCCTTGCCGCCTCCGGTTCTTCCTCTTGCTAGCAAACCACGCCGCCCCCCCATTCCTTATGCATCCGATCCCCTCCAATCGTGCGATCTGGGCTTGCCCAAAACTCTCCCCCTTCCCACTCCCTTGGCTCACACTCGATGTCCTTCCCCATCCCCTCCTGTCTTCCCCATCCCCTCCTGTCTTCCCCATCCCCTCCTGTCTTCCCCATCCCCTCCTGTCTTCCCCATCCCCTCCTGTCTTCCCCATCCCCTCCTGTCTTCCCCATCCCCTCCTGTCTTCCCCATCCCCTCCTGTCTTCCCCATCCCCTCCTGTCTTCCCCATCCCCTCCTGTCTTCCCCATCCCCTCCTGTCTTCCCCTCTCCCCTTCCCCTTGGCCTCCGCAGTACGCGCTGGTGAACCAGTTCCAGACGTTCCCCGACATGCTCGATGGCAACGGCCTCCCCACAGACCAGCTCTACGCCAATCTCACGCTCATCCTCTCTATTCGCAATCCCAATACTCGCTACGTGTCATGGTTCGACGGGGGCGACGTGCGTATCGGCTACAGCTCCATCAACACCATAATGAGGGGAAAGGTGAGTGGTTCAATTCTCTCCGGATTCAAGTCCTACAAATAATACCCCTGTAAAGCCATCTGTAACCCTGCTACCTTACCTCCTTTCTATATAGCGGCATCACATTATCACCTCCCCCCTGGCTACCCCGCCTTTGCCTTGTCACCTTGTCCCCATGCGCAGTTCCCCAAGTTCAAGCAGAACCGGCTGGAGTGGAACAGCTTCAACGGGTCCGCGTCCACCATGGCCTTCCCCCTGTACGGCGGGGGCATGGCGCTGCGCTCCGACATGGCGGAGCAGTACGTTCCGCTCGTGCTGAACGCCACGCTGCGCGCACACGTGGACGTGGTCTGGAAGGTCGTTTCGCCGCAGTACACCCATATGATGGAGTGCATTGTGAATATTAACCCCCTGGCGATGCAGTACATCAACGACACGTGCACAGTAACCCAGATCTGAGACGTGCCTTGATGGGCCAACTGTCCTCACTTCCCAGCTAGCCAGGAAAAAAGCGCCATTCCTCTGATCTCCAGAGAACTGTCTGTCCACCCTTCCACTGATCCCCATTTCCATTGATCCTTAGCTTTTTTGTTAGACGGATTACATGTTATCTAGAGCTTGTGAGGCTACTTTGGCCTTGTTTATTATTATCATTATTAATACTTTGGACTATCTCCAAACCAGAAGTACGCTTTTACTGCATAAGCTTGAAATTTCTGTTGTGAAGGAAACTACCAGTGCTTGGGTGAATTTATTTCTACTGTCACTCACATCACCTATGGTACACCAACAGTAGCAACCACATTTAGGGATGCTAATGGATTGACAGTGTGCACCTTGTGATTGGCATCTTATGTCAAGAGATTGATTCTTTGTCATAGAAATGTGCATCCTTTCGTGTCTCAAAATGCAAGCATTTTTTTTTCTCATATTGTCGTATTGTCATCCTTTACCTGTTATGCTTCCTTTCGTGTCTCAAAATGCAAACATTTTTTGAAACCATGGATATATAGAGATTGAAACATGAAGAGTCAATAGAATTTAACTTTTCAAATTGCAACACTAAAGATTGAGATTGACCACAAAAGGAAGCACATAAGCTTTCCAATATTAGGAACTCCTCCGTGTAGTATTTTTTGTCGTTCTTATGGGGAGGGCTTGCTTCGCCACATCATCCAACATCATGGATATTGTGGGCTTCAGCAGAATCTCAGGAGAGCCATCCCTGCTGAGCATGACGGACATTCGCTGAGTGCATCCTCCTCCACCATCAATACTACTTTCTTTGCCAGTATTCTTCGCTGGTCTTCTGTTGACGTCTCCGTCAACTTTCCACCGCCATGCTGCCAAAATCTATATAAACTAGCTCAGCATCGTCAACCTCATTCTTGATTTCCACGCCTCGGCTTTGCAGTCACCTGAGCATCAATTTACTCGCCAGCAACCCAAGATTCTCAAAGCATCTTTGTCTCCGTAGCTGCTTCGCCTTCCCTGTACCCTCGGATTCGGGATCATTCCCAGACGAACCATTATGAACATGGATTAGGTGAAGAGATTATATTTTCTGTGAGAAGCCGTCGTTTCTCGCATAAGGCCTTTCTTTCAATAGTCGTGTCTTCCCAGGACTTTTCTGCAGGCCAGTGACGGGAGTTGCTGGAAACCGGTCATAACCCAGAAGTCAACAAATCATAAGTAGAAGTCAACGCGTCGTAAATTGGACCATAACTAGCCGTGATTAGAGGAGGCGTGACGACGAGCCGTGACTAGACGAGACAATGGCGGCCGTATCGTCACTGACGGCGGACCACGAGTGGCTGCTGTGTCGCCTGAGGGAATGCCTGGACCCGGGAAACACCAACCGCGCTGTCGCAGAGGAGGCGCTGCGGCAGGCCGAGGCGATGGCAGGTGTGTCGCAAGGCGATGGTAGTGTGCTGCTGGCCGACTAAGAAATCTGTCCAGTTATCCGAGGCGATGGTTTGAGCCACGGTTATCGTTGACTGCCACAATGAGCCACTGTTGGCGAAGCTATCCGAGAGCTTGATGCCTGTTTTTCACTTCCGCGTGGGGGTACGTTCTCGTCGCAAGGGAAACCTACACTCGGAATGCGTGACGTCATTGCGCTTAACTAAACGCGAGGCTCGTCGCAAGCATCCATAGACCATTCCCCGCGACTGTGGTGTAGCTTCTGGACTCGTCGCACCCGCCTGTGCTGGCCTCGTGTCTCCCTGTTCATCGTGCTCGCCGCCTGCTCATCGTGCATCCCTCTGCTCGTCATGCATCCCTCTGCTCATCGTGCATCCCTCTGGTCATCATGCATCCCTCTGCTCATCGTGCATCCCTCTGCTCATCATGCATCCCTCTGCTCGTCATGCATCCCTCTGTTCATCATGCATCCCTCTGCTCATCATGCCTCCTCTCCTCATCCTCTCCGCATCGCACGTCTCTCATCGCCCATGCCATGCAGGCTATGCACCAGCGCTGATGGCGGTAACACTCAACAAGGGCCTAGACGCCGGGACACGCCAAATATCCTCTTCACGGCTTTGACTTGCCTAAGACCTGACTAAAGATTCGCCTGAAATGAGCATTCGACACTGGAAATTCCTGATTACCTTACCTCCCTCACTCCTCCGTGCTGTGTCAGTTTTCTTTGTCCATCTAAGCCTCGTCCTTCAATCTAACGCCTGAGAATTATTTTGTTTCGTTACACCCTCTCATCTCAGTCGTGCGATACTTACCTCTTTGTGGGGTTCCTTAACTTCTTCCTTTGGCGTCTCCCTCGCGTTCCTCTCCTTGGCTCCCCTCCTTCCCTCCTCTTGTGTTCCCCCCTTCCTCCTTTCCCTCTTCTTCTTCTCCCTCTCCTTCTTCTCCCTCACCTTCTCCCTCTCCTTCTTCTCCCTCTCCTTCTTCTCCCTCTCCTTCTCCCTCGCCTTCTACTCCCTCTCCTTCTCCCTCTCCTTCTTCTCCCTCTCCTTCTCCCTCTCCTTCTTCTCCCTCTCCTTCTTCTCCCTCTCCTTCTTCTTCCTCTCCCTCTCTCCCTTATCTCCCTACCATCATCCCGTCGCTCGCTGTGATTCTTCTTCCCATGGTGATTCCTATCGCCTGGTGATTTCTTCTGCTGCTCTCCGGTCCGCACCTGGCAGCAGTGCTGCTGCGGCAGATGGTGCAGAAGCACTGGCAGGCAGGGGACGAGGAGGAGGAGGAGGGAGACAGAGGAGTGAGGGGTTTTACTGTGTCGCCAGAGAACAAGGTGGGGGGGGGAGAGGGGGAGGGGGGATGGGCGTAGGGCGTAGGGTTGTTTGGGGAGACAAGTGACTGTAGGAGAGAATCGGAGCAGAGAGAGAAGGAAGAAGAACGGAGTCAGGCTTGAAGCTTTTTTTTTGCATGGCTTTGTTAACCCAAAATTGTTTGCCACGTCACCAATCCATGCCATGCTGGCAGGCAGCCGTGCGGTCTCTGCTCCTCCAGGGGCTGGTGGACGAGGAGCCCAAGGTCCAGGCAGCTGTGGGGCTCGCCATTGCACACGTGGCATCCTGTGATTGGCCGGAGGAGTGGCCGGACCTCATGGACCATCTGATGGCCGCCCTGGCGGACACGGCAAATCCCAAGAGAGGTGGGGGGAGAGGGGGGGAGGGTGTGATGTGGTTGGGGTGAAAGTGGGGGGGGAACCGTTAGTGCGTAGGAATGTGGCTGTGGCTGCACAAGATCTGCACAACTCATGAAGGGCATGAAAAAATGGGTAGTATGTGAGAGGTCCCACACAGGGGTTGGGTGGGTGTCCCCACCCACAGGGGTCTCATGTTCCTCACAAACCCTGAACCCTCAATCTCTTTCGTGTATTCCCTTCCCCCTCCCCCCGGTCCTCCTTTTTCTTCCTCCCCCCCCCCCCCCCGGTATTCCCCCTCTGTAATCTGCAGTGGCAGCAGCCGTGGAGTGCCTGTCCCTCTTCGCAGAGGAGATAGACGACTCGCAGCTGCCTGCTCTCGTGCCCAAGCTCTTCCCCCCCATCTTCGCCATCGTCTCCAACCCGCACCAGGTGAGACACGCACCAGGTAAAACCCGTCCCAGGTGAGTCCCGCGCCAGGTAAGTCCCACACCAGGTGCCGCACAAGGTGATGAAACTCCCACCAGGTGAAACACTCACCAGTTGTCCGGAACCCTCACGTACTCCGAATTCTCCTCTGCTTTCCCTCTTCCATACCTCACTCTCTCCCTCAACTCCCTAATCCCCCACTTCCCCCCCTACTCTCCCTATAACGCCACTCTCCCTGCATCCCACCTCCAGGCATACCGCCCATCGGCACGCAGGGGAGCGCTGAGTGTGCTGAGAGCGACAGTGGCCACGTTGGGAATTATGAGCGCCGTTTACCAGGTCAGTGGGATGCGTTGCTCGTGTTTTATTTTCCTTTTCTCTCTTGTACTACGTGCATCCCAATTTGTGCTGCGTTTCTTCAATCCAATGTAGTGGGTCGTTTTTATGGAACAAGTGAGTATAGGGCCGACTGTTGCATCGGCTCGGCTCAGTAGACAGCTGAGTGTACTGAGAGCCACGGTGACCATTCAGGATATACTGTGTGCTCCGCATTCTGCTTCTTTTGATGCCATTGCCATGCAGGTGCATTGTTCCTGCACTTGCTGCGCCCATACCTCTTCCCTGGGCTTGTCAGGTCCACCACCCACCGCTTCCCCAGTGCTACCACCTCACCCCATCCCCTCATCATCATGACCGAGCCCAGCCCCTTCCCCCCCTCCCCGCCTTCCCTCCCCCGTTCCCCCCCCGCCTCCCTTTCTGCGTCCCCTCTTCCCCAGAAGGAGAGCAAGGCGATAATATCCGAGTCCTTGCCCACATGGGTGGCGCAGTTCTCTGCCATCCTCTCCGCACCGCTCTCCCAAGACGACCCGCAAGACTGGGGTATCAGGAAAGAGGTGCGGATGGTGCAAGCGAGGAGTGCGTAGGAAAGGAATGAAGCATGTTGAATGCTTTTGATGACAGTCATAGACGAGGGCTGCAGAGGTTTATCGTGCAAGGCTGGAACCTGGAGCTGAGTGTTCCACTTTTTCTGGTCGTACCATGCATGGTTTGAAGATCGAGGTTTCGGGTTTAAGGGTTCGTTCGGGTTTACGAGGGTTTCAGTGCCGCATCTTGTGGCTTCTTCACAGTCTCAGCTCGTCTCCTCTTCTGCGTGCCTTTTCTCTGTCCATCCCCTTTATAAGGTGCTCCGCTGCTTGACTCAGCTCATTCAGCATTTCCCTGCTCTGCTCGAGTCGTCCATGCCAGGTAGGTACTGACCAATATCCCTTCTCCTGTCACCAGGCCCACTTCCTCAATCTGAGGCTGCAGTCTTGCGTGCTCTCCTGCCCCTTATCCCTTCCCCTCACTTCTCTTCGACCGCCATCCTTATCCCTTCTACCACACTTCTCCCCTTCCCCTCTCCTTCCTTTTGCATCCCTTCCCCCTGCCGCCCACCGCTGCCCTGTCCCTTTGACCCGCCTCCTGCCTCCCCTACATACATCCTGGCGGCGCTATTGCAGAGCTACGTGTCTGTTCTGTCACTCCTTGCTAGGAGAACCTTTTGAGTCGACTCAAAAGTCATCTGTCACTCCTTGCTAGGAGAACCTAATGTTGACCCTCCCCCTCTCCAAACCCCCACTTCCTAATCCTTCCCTCATTCCCTATCCCCAACCCTGCCCCCCACCCCCCCCCCCCCTGCAGGCATACTGGCAGCGTTGTGGCAGAGCTACGTGTCTGGCATCCCCCTCTACGAGCGACTAGTGGTGGCGGGCTTACCGCTCATGCCCGCCCCTGCTGCTGCTGCTGGGACAGGGGAAGCAGGGTCAGCGACCAGCAATGACGCCCCACAGTCAGGACAAGCAGGGACAGGGGGAGTGGGGGGAGGGGAAGGGGGAGAGGGCCTTGAATCTGCAGCAGATGAGCTTTCAGCTCTTGCCATTCAGGTAGCTTGTCTATTAGCTAGCTTCTCGCACGCAGTCAGCTCGCAGGGAAGGAAGGAAGGAAGCGACACATTCCTGCTTGCCTACCAAGCATTATCAGGGGCTGGCAAGTGTTCTTCAAGTGTCTCTTTCCCGTCATCCCTCTGCTCTGTCTCCTTGTCTCACAGGCCTTTGAGTTCCTCCTGACTCTCGCCACCAACTCCAGATTCCAAAAGGTGAGCAGCCTGCTCCCCTGCTGCTGCCATGGCTTCTTCCTTTGCTGCTGGATTCCCCGATTTCTTGATTCCCTCCCTCGCTTCTCCACTTGCGCGCCTCATCCATCCCTGCCCTCCTAATTAGCTTATGACGAGCTCGCAAGTCGCAAGGCACGTTGTTTCCCTCTCCTTGGGCGGTGGCTATCGCAGGGCCTGCAAGGCACAACAGAGGCACTGGTCTACTTCGCCATAGGCTACATGCAGATCACAGCAGCCCAGGTGAGTTATGTGTGACTGTACAACAGGTGAGTGATGTGTGACTGTGCAGGTGAGTGATGCGTGACTGTACATGTGTGTGATGTGTGACTGTACCGTTGTGCTTCTAGCAGGTCGTGCTTTTGCGGGCTTCCACCCACCCCTAGTGCCACCGTGGATGTTTCCTTCCTCGTCCCTCTTCCCCTCAACTTTGCCCATCTTTCGTTTCTCCCTTCCTTCAACGCATTCGATATCAATCCTCTCCCCTCCCTTATCCCTCAACCCTGTTTTTCTCCGTCCCTCATCTGCCCCCCCCCAACCCCCCCCACAGGAGGAGGAGTGGTCGCAGGACACCAACGAGTTTGTCTCAGAGGAGGACGACGAGGCCATCAGCTGCCGAACCTCCGGTGAGTGAGAGTCGCATCCATTATTGTCACATGCATTAGAACCTCTTTGTGGAGTGGAGACACTTTGTGTATTCCTCGTTTTCCGGACCCACCACCCTCCGCCTCTGCTGGCTGCTGCCTTGCGGGAGGAGCTGGTGGCGGAGTTCAAGGGCGATTCAGTGCAGTGCATACATACTCACGTTCCTCTACCCCCCCCCCTCTCCCCCTCCCCCAACCCCCCTCGTTCCCCCCTGTCCTCACAGCCGCTGCGCTATTCGAGGAGCTGGTGGCGGAGTTCAAGGAGGAAGTGGTGTATGCAGGGCATATCCACGGCCGTGGGGGCCCTTAGTGTCCCCCCCTCCCCCCCTCTCCCTTTCCCCCCTCCCCCCCTCCCACCCCTCCCCTCCTTACAGCTGCCGCCCTGCTCGAGGAGCTGGTGGCGGAGTTCAAGGAGGAGGCCGTGCAGGGCATCTCCACGGCGGTGCAGCGGCGGCTGGGCGACACAGTGGTGAACCCCACGGAGCATGCCCCCGCGTGGTGGAAGGTGAGCTGAGAGCCCCCTCTTTAGTCTCAGGGCGTGTTAACGCGGCCAGTCTCACGCCATGTGCACATGGTCAGTGTCGTGCCGTGTTAACAGCGGTGCAGCGATGGCTGGCTGGCATACACGGACCGTATATGAACCCGACCCAGCATGCCGCTGCATGGTGGAAGGTGAGTGACACGCGGCACATGGAGTTTGGGAAGCGTCAGGGCTTCGTGACTCTTCTCTGTTTGTTTCCCTGCATACTACTGCCACCTTCACTGCTTCCTCACTCCCTATCTCCTTCCCTTACCCCCCGCCTCATCAGTTGCGTGAAGCTGCTATCTTTGCTGCTGGAACAGTGGCTGACACCTTTCTCCAATACGAGGTACGTGCTCGACGGGAGTCACAGTAACTGACGAAACCATCCATTGCAAGTAACGCATGGTTTTGTGCGCACACATGTTCGTGTGTGTTGTGGCGCATACATACAGACATCCAGTGTGGTTGTATCGACAGGTGCCTGTGATCTGTGCATGCGAGTATGCGTGTATGAGCACATGTGCGAGTGATCATGTGTCTGCGTATGCTTGTGTGTTTGCGTACATGTATGCGAATGCTTTGTGCATGTACGTGCCCATCTTCTTCTTGTGTCGGCTCAAAACGAAATTACTTGGTGCATGTATGTATGTGCCCATCTTCTGATGTGTGCATGCCTGCATGGCGGCATGCGTGCATGGCTGCATACAACAACCATGCTGTTGATGGAACGCATCAGATGGAGGGCAAGCCTGTCTTCGACTCTAAGGCGTTCCTCGATGCACTGCTATTGCACGACCTGGGCCCAAGTAAGTCTGCCTGTGCGTTGACCAGGCATTGGTTACTGTCCACATCTAGCCCCAAGTGAGTTGACTTTTGCGTCGACTCTAAGGCCTTCCTCGATGCGCTGCTCCTGCGCGACCTGGGCCCAAGCGAGTATTGCCATGCATCCCCATGTTCCCCCAAACACTTGCCATGCATCTCCTCCCTCCCCCTTTGCGTCACGAATCTCCCCCCTCCCCACTTGCGCCATGCATCCCCTCCCTCGCCCCGTCTCTCCCCACCAGACGGAGCGGTCAACTTTCCCTTCCTCTACTGCCGCTGCCTCTGGGCTGCTGCCAGGTTCGCCTCTGAGGTGAGTTCATCCATCTGCCTTCAGCGATTATGCTCGCTGCTGCTCGCCCAGTCTGATGGCTGAACGTCCATCCATCTGCCTTGTGCGATTGTGGCTATGACTGGATGGGGTTGTTGTGACATGCGTGCGCTTGAAGGGAACATGAAACTCTTGTGGCTTTAGGGAGATTAGTCAACCAGCATCGTCTGTTCTTTCTGCTTGCTCCTGCATATCTTTTAGAGTCTTGGATCGTTGACCCTTTTTGTGCGTGGCACTTGAAGCCAAAGAAACTCTGGCCGTCCCCCTGTGTTTGTGACCCATCAGGCGCCGGCAGAGAAGAGGGTTCAGCTGCGGCGGGTGGCAGCAGGACCCTCCTCTTCGTCCCTTCCCTCTCCAACCACTTACAACCGTGGCCGCCTTTCGCCCCCCTCTGTGCTCTTCCCCTTCCAGGCACCGACAGAGAAGAAGGTCCAGCTGCTGCGGGTGGCAGCAGAGTCTCTCAGCAAGGACAGGTGCGGTGGGATGGGATGATGGTGTGCGGTGGAATAGGATGGCATGGCGTGGGGGGGATTGGGGGTGGGTGCCATCCATGAGGTGAGCTGGGACGACATGACATGCCATGGATGGCCCGACATACTAGCAGCATGACCAAGACTGAGGAAAAAGTTAGTTGCCGTTATGTTTTCCCATGGCTCCATTTGTGCGTCATCATGTTTCCCTATGCGACCATCCCTGTTACTAAGCGTCCTACTGCCATGCTTGCAGGCCTCTGATCATCCGCATAGGAGCATGCAGAGCCCTCTCTCGCCTGGTGCCCAACATGCAAGCCCAGGACCTGCGGCCCGTGCTGCCTGCCATCTACACCGGCATCAGCGACATGCTGCCAGAGGTGACTCCAATGAGCGTGACTATGCCGCGGTTTAGACTATTGGCATGGGATGAGCTTCTTTTTGATGGCACGCAAGCCCAGGACCTGAGTCCGTGCTGGTCCCTGTCCACGGGCATCAGTGACATTCATATGGTAGGGGTGAGAGAGAGACATGCTTCCAGAGGTGAGACACCTGCCTGCAGCGAGTGTGACTGTAGAGGTGAGAGAGAGACATTCTGCCAGAGGTGAGACACACACACATACTGATTAGTGCTACTATTGTGACTATTGTGTTGACTATTTTCATTGATCTCATGGCATAAGCTCCATCTCCACTAGTCCTCGGCTGCTCTGCACATGGAGAGATGACTTTTGAGTCGACTCAAAAGTCTCCTTGGCTGCTCCACACATGGATCCGCCCTCAAACTCCGCTGGCTTCCACTGCCCCCACCCACCATTGTCCACGCACCACACCAGGTGTCGGACGACACTCTCCATCTCGCCCTCGAGCTGCTCACTGCTGTCATCCGCTCAGGTGACCCCTGCGCTGCCGTACCCACCATGCCATGCCATGCCATGCCATGCGGTGCTGTGCCATGCCATGCCATGCCATGCAGTGCCGTGCCATGCCGCCCTCCTCACAAGTCACTCAACTTTGACTCCTTTGCATTCCCCCTCCCCCTCCGCCCCCCTCCCCCCTCCCCTGTCCCGGCCAATCAGACGAGGAGGTGACAGCTCAGATGGAGCCGGTGGTGACGTCAGCACTGCTGGGCATTTGGGCGGAGCATGTGAACGACCCCGTGATCAGCTCCGACACCAGCGACGCCCTCGAGGCCATGGCCGACCTCCCCGCCTGCATCGAGTCCATACTCCGTGCGGCCATCCCCCCGCTCTCTGCCATCTTCGCCAAGGTATGGCACGGCCTTTACCGCCCCTCCTCTGTCATTTCGCTTCTGCGTTTTGTCAATGGAAACCTCCTGGTTGACGGCGCCTGAATCAAAGCGGGGTGGCAGTGGGGCTGCTGCTGGCAATCTGGGCACGGCCCGCGCAAACCAAGGTGGCAGTGGTGGTCGACCTCATGCCCCACCCTCGAGGCCTCCCCGCCTCGAGGGCATGTGGTCTCGAGCACATACCCAGTGACCAGCTCTGACACCAGCAACACCCTCGAGGCTTCCCTCCCCGCCTGCATCGGTCTCTTCTCCACACTGCCACCCCCCCCCTTGGCCGAATTTCCCCATGTAATATTCTCTAGTTTTTGCGTCTTTTTCTGATTGCATCCTCCCCACCCTCTGCCAATTATGTTTAGCGTTCTCCCATTCAAGGCAAGGCCATCCCCCCAGTCTCTGTGGTTCTCTTTCTTCCTCTCAAAATTTCCTTGTGGCTTGTGTGTGTGTGCCTGTTTGCATGTATGTGCGTTGTTCTTGTATCGTTGTATGCATGTGGATTTGTCCGGGGGTGTGGATACGCATGTGGATTGTCCGGGGGCGCAGCCAGAGGAGCAACCCAACGGTTTGGTGGCAGGAGGGATGGAGCTGCTGACAATGCTGCTCAAGGTAGCCCATGCATCCATGCATCCATGTACCCATGCCACTGTGCATCCGTGCTTCATGCACCCATGCAAGTCGCACCCATGTGCCTCTCTCAACTATTGCTTTGCTGCTCTCATGCCTGCCCTAGTCTCTCCCCCCTCTCACTTCCTAAGTCTTCAAGTTCTTCTCCCGCCATTTGCTTTCCACAGACATTTGCCTTCCCCTCCCATTTGCTTTCCCCATCCATCCATCTCTCCAATCCCCCAACCTGCTGGCCCCAGCGCACGCCTGCACCCCTGGTGCGCCCCTCAGCCATCGGTCAGGGGGGTGCTCTGGCGTGCTCTGATCACACAGAGGTACAAACCCCCCCGCACCCCCCTGTTTGCCTTCTCCCCCCAGCAACCTGTCTGCTCCAGCGCACCCCTGCACCTCTGGTGCGGCCGGTGTTTGACGCGCTCTTTGTGCCACTCGCAGCCGTGGTGCTGCGATCCGGCGACCACATGGAGCTACGACCTCCCCCTCCCCCCACCCCATATGCCCTTTACCCCCTTGCGCCTTACCCCCTCCCCCACAACCTGCTTTCCCCAGCGCACGCCTGCCCCTCTGGTGCGGCCGGTGTTTGACGCGCTCTTTGCGCCACTTGCCACCATCGTGCTGCGATCCGACGACCACACAGAGCTGCAGAACGGCGCGGAGGCGCTCGCCATGTTCGTGCGCAAGGGAGGGGAGGAGCTGGTGGCGGGCAGTGCCGACCCCGATGGCACCATGAAGACCCTGCTGGACGCTGCTGCCAAGTGAGTGGAATGGGTGTGATTGGGACATAGAATGGGGGGGCGTGGGTGCTGGATGGTATAAGAGGGGAGGGGAGGAGCTGGTGCCGACCCTGATAGCACCATGACCCTGCTGGACGCTGCTGCCAAGTGAGTGCTGGTGCAGCTCATCTGGCGCCTGCCGTCGTGCATGGTGCCTCACCTGCAGCCGCTCGTGGCGGTCATCCCCTTCCCCCTTCTTGCCCTCTCTCACTCACCTCTTGCCTCACTCTCACTCCCCATCTCACCCAGGCTATTGAGTCCGCAGCTGGAGCCGTCCGCGTCTCTCTTCGTGGGCCCGCTGCTGGTGCAGCTGATCCGGCGCCTGCCGTCACGCATGGCGCCTCACCTGCAGCCGCTCGTGGCGGCCATCGTCCACCGCATGGCTGCCAAGCGCATGCCCTCGCTTTCTGTCTCGCTGCTGCTCGTCTTCGCACGGCTGGTGGGTCGTGCTGTGTTTGCCCCACTGGTGGGTGTGGTCGTGCTGTGTTTCTATGACGGGTATATGGCCCTGTTTTTCAAGCCATCGTCCACCGCATGGCCGCCAAGCACAAGCCGTCGCTCTCGGTCTCGCTTCTGCTCGTCTTTGCGCGCCCGGTGGGTGTGATGATAGTGTGTCCGTACATGAATGGCGGGTATAAGGACTCGTCCTTCTGGCCATCGTCCACTGCGTGGCCGCCAAATGCATGCCCTCACCCTCCGTCTCGCTGCTCCTCGTCGGTGAGTTGCCTCTGGCGTTTGCGCGACTGGCGGGTGTGGCGATGGTGCGCTCTTACATGAATGGTGGGTACAACGGCTCATACTATCCTCCGTTGTTCTCTGCATGCAACCCCATCACTCTCCTCCCTCCCCTCTCCCCCCTTCTCTCTTCCCGCTTCTCCTCTCCCCCCTCCACCCCATGTCCACTGGGCATCGCCAAATATGCATCCGCTGCTGGACATCCTCCTCTCTCTCGCCCCTCCCTCCCCCACTTCCCTGTCCTTCTCTTCTTCTCCCCCTCCCCTCCCCCCTCCACCGCAGGTGCATTGGGCATCACCAGACGTGCGCCCTCTGCTGGACCTCCTCTCCTCGCTGCCCCTGCAAGACCATACCTCCGCCCTGCACTTCCTGCTCTCCGAATGGGCCATGTACCACAGTCAGTGCCTCTTTCCACTGCTACTGCCACCCGCCATTCCATGTTGTCGTTTCACCGTCGTACCCATTACCATGCTCATTCGGCTCCAAGTTGCATGTGTGTGCCTGTGTGCGTGCATGCGTTTGTGGGTGTCCCATTCTCCCCCAAACCATACACACCGGGGGCATTGATGGCATGTACGTGTGCGAATGTGCCCCCCTCACCATGCCTCATGAATGCATCTGTCTGTCCCCATGCCCATGTGTCTGTCCCCATGCCCATGTGTCTGTCCCCATGCCCATGTGTCTGTCCACCATGGCCCCAGGCGACATTCATGGGGTATATCACAGCAAGGTGGCATCATCCGCCCTCGCGCTGCTGCTGGCCTCTCGTGACCCGCGCCTGCTGCAAGTGCCCGTGCAGGGCAAGCTGGTGGCGGTGAGTGCAGGGCAGGCTGGTGGCGGTGAGTGCAGGGCAGGCTGATGGCGCAGTGAGGGGGATGTCGGGCACGCTTGTGGCAGTGAGTGCAGGGAACGCTATTGGCAGGGAGATGTAATTGTTGCATGATTGCCCCATGGCTGCTTGCCGCACCTCTTTCCTAGTTGCTTTCAACGACTCACTATCGTCCTCCTCCATCTCCCCTCCTACAGACGACGTCCACGGGCGTTGTAACTCGCGTGCATGTTGAGGCGCCTCAGAATGGAGCCATTTGTCCAGTTCCTTTCCTCACGTCTTCTTTTCTGGCAGACGTCCAAGGGCGTTGTGACCCGGTCACGAGCGCGGGTGGTGGCGGACAAATGGACGGAGATGGCATTCCCAGCTAAGGTCTGAACGCCGCGCCGTTGCTCCTTCTCTACCCCTCTCTCTCTCCCCCATCGCTCCACTCCATATCTCTTGTATATGTTTTGTTTTCCAGTCAGCACGTCTTTCACCACTTTTTGCCCCTCTTCACTGCCTTTCACCACTTCTCACTCCTCCTCACCACCTCCTCTTTTTCTCTCCGTCACGCCCGTAGGCGCTGTCGCTGCTGGCAGGTGCCTTGCTGGAGGCGAAGGAGGAGGGGGAGCAGGCAGAGGCTTTGAGGGGAAAGAGGGGGTCTGGGCAGGGGGATGGCGAGGTGAGAATCATTGGGGGTCTTTGAGAAATCTCGAAATTCCTCAGGGGTCTGGGCAGGCGGACAGCAAGTTGGGAATCCTTACCCACAATGAAAGCACGTTCTTTGGCTACTGCAGTTCAAATCAGACCCAATTCTTACTCCAGCCTTCATGCCAAGTCTAAACATTCCTCGCTGTAACACTGTAGTTCGTTTCTCTCTCTGTTGTACCTCCCTTGTACCTCCCTCGTACGTCCATTGTGCCCCCCGTTTGACTCGCCTCGTGCAAGCAGGATGAGGACCTGGAGGAGGACGAGGAGGAAGGCAAGGGGCGGGAGGGGCTTGACACGGGGCTGCCGCCTGTCTTTGCTTCAGCCGAGCTCTTCTCCCACCTGCTGGACCAGGAGGTGAGTCACTAAGTAGAGGGGCAGCAGGGGGAGTTGGAGAGTAGCTTTTCCTATAAGGGGCCTGAGTGCTTCAGCCGAGCTTTTCTCTTACCACGAGGTGAGATTGGACAACGGGAGGGAGGGGAGGGCGGGTCAAGAATGGGTGGGTTTGATTTGAGTAGAGGGGGGAGAGGTGGGTTTGAGGAGGGGTGGGTTTGTGGGTGTCTTGGTTGGAAAAGAGTGCTTCCAGTCGTCGCATCGGGCTGAGCTCGTCCCCCACCTGCTGTGCCAGGAGGTGGGCTTTCAGGGTGGTGAGAGAATTTGGATCTTGGAAGTGCGAGATCCGGTTACCTCCCCCTATAACTCCCCCTGCCCCCACACCGCCCCCAACCCCGCCCCCGCCCTTGCCCGTTCCTCTCCCACTGCTCTTGTTCGTGCGTGGAAGCAGTTTGGCGAGGATGCAGGGGATGATGATGACGATGCTCAAGATGACCCGCTCAATCAGGTGTGCTTGGTCTGGTACAGCTTGTGCTCCCTTTCACTCGCCTTCGTTCCTGTTCCCAGATCCCACACACAAACAGCCACGCACTCACACGCTCACTCACACCCTCGCTCATTCACTCACTCAGTCGCTTGGTCAAACAATTCCCTTCCTCCCTCCACCTCCCTCTCCCTCCCACCCACCTTCCCATTGCCCCTACACCCTCAGATCAACCTGGCCGTGTTAATTTTTTAGGCGCCTCAAAAATAGACTTCCCTTCCCCCCTCCACCCCCCTCTCCCCCCCACCTTCCCGTTGCCCCTACATCCATTGCCCCTACACCCATTGCCCCAGATCAACCTGCCTGTGTTAATTGCTGATGTCATCAGGCAGCTGGCATCTCAGGAACCAAATCTCTTCCAGACACTTTCTCAGGTGAGCGACCGAGCTGAGCATTTCCGCTGGAAGGCTTGTTTCTTAGCCCAAGCCTTTTCTCGAGAGACATCATGGCCCAGACCAGAAGGTCCGTTAGGGTATGTGCTATGTGCTCCAGGCTCTGCTGGTGCTCGCTTACTTTCAACTGCGGCTCCTAACCTGAACATAACACAATGATGTGCAAGGTTCAAACTGAACCCTTTTATCAATACTTGGTCGTTCCCCACACACCCTGACTCCCTTCCCCCCCACCCCCCCCCTCCCACCCCCCCCCTTGCACCAACAGGATCTTACTGCGAGAGAGCGCTCAACCATCCAGTCCACCCTCAGTGCATCGTGATAAGCACGTTTCTGCACTGTGATCAGCACATGAGATTGCCGATCAGCAATTGATTATCGTCAAACAGTGATACATGCAGCATGATCGCAATCTGTGCATCTCGTGGCACCTGTGTGCACCAGGAGCAGCTGCATGCTTCCCCCGCGCTTCTCGCCTCATTTTTTAGGTCAAGCTGAGCATATTTGATACGGTAGGGGCAGGGCTGTGCCATCAGCCATAGTGAATCTCCATTGGTGTGTAGTGTTCATGGGTGCATGTTTCTTCGAGCAAGCGCGTCCAACTGTACCATATGTAGCTCCGTGAGTGGGGCAAGTTGCAGTGTAGTGCTCACTATAGGCTACTGGTAGTTGGCTAATCACCTTTCATCTATCAGATGGTTGCCCAGCCCCTCCCCTTTCCTTCTGTTTGGACAAGACTTACAGCACTTCCAAAGCTGAGTTGCCATGCGCCTATTTGTCACGTTGCTGGGTGGGGCGTAGTTCTAAGCAAATCGCTAATAATAAATAATAATCAAAGGAGATTTCGACGTCGTGCTCTCATAGCTCAGTTGGTTAGAGCACCCGTTTAGTAAGCGGGAGGTCTTGAGTTCAACTCTCAACTTTTTTCTGTTTAGCGAATCCTGGCATGTTGTAACCCTGTCGTGACCAGTCGTGCTTTTCGCCAAGATGCTCCTGCTCCAGCACAGCATGAGCTGTTGTGGCGCGGACTGACAACCGACGCATTTCCCTTGGTCCCACAATTCCAAACCTTATTCTGTGCTGTTCTCAGGCACGGCTCCTTGCTGCTGCTCTTCCTGTTTCCCACCTAGTCCGCGTGTGTCATCCTGAATAGCAACCATGGGGACCATGTCTGAAGTCCAAGAGCATCTAAAGGCGCTTAGCCGAGACTATGTCTGCGAGCCATTCCTAGGTAGGGTGTTTATTTTCTCTTTCCTAGGTAGGGTTTCCTAGATATTCCTGGGTCGGCATTCCTGTTTGGGATTAGGGTCACATTAGGTCACATTACTAGCTGGTCCAGTAGATCCAGTTTTTTACTTGAACGTACCACTTACCAGCTGCCTTTCCTCGTCTCTTCTTCTCGCAACTGAACAGAGTACCGGACGGTGTCTGGTGTCGCTGGTCCCTTGGTCATATTGGAAAAAGTGAAGGTACGCTTCACTGTAGTTTTCCTTTCCTTGCGCGGCGGCATATGTACGAAACTCTCTCTTATTTTATCGACGGATCTCGGGCATCGCTGGATCTCCTTGTCCGCAGGGTCCCAAGTTCCAGGAGATTGTGAACCTCAGGCTCGCGGATGGAGAGATCAGACGAGGGCAAGTTCTCGAGATCGATGGCGACAAAGCCGTTGTCCAGGTGTTGTTTCGGCGCTTCTATAGCCATTCTAGCATTTCATTTAGAATATACATTTTTCATTTGACATAATCAGACGTGTCACTTCTGCAGGTCTTCGAGGGGACCTCTGGCATTGACAACAAGCATACGACAGTGGAGTTCACTGGCGAGGTGACTTAGCTCATGACATTTGATCTCTGTATAATGATCCAGTTTGAGGTACTGATCGTGGTCTTATCAACATTCGTCGAAACAGGTGTTGAAAACGCCCGTGTCCATCGACATGCTTGGTCGCATATTCAACGGATCTGGCAAACCCATTGATGATGGGCCTCCCATTCTTGCAGAAGCATATCTCGACATTGCAGGTAAATAATCTCAGTTAGATCCGCCTTGATCTGGTCTCGTGTCGGAGATGAAGTTGATCTGAACTTCCGCGTGTAATCTGCAGGCAGTTCCATCAACCCCAGTGAGCGAACATATCCCGAAGAAATGATCCAGACGGGCATTTCGACCATCGACGTGATGAACTCGATTGCTCGCGGACAGAAGATTCCTCTTTTCTCCGCCGCTGGTCTTCCACACAACGAAATCGCTGCACAGATTTGTCGGCAAGCAGGTCTTGTGAAGCCACTGGAGAAGAAGGATGATCTGCTGAAAGTAAGCACTTCGACTAGCTTTGTCCACATTTTACCTAACACATTATGCTTGTCAAGTTCTCATACGATTTTAAGCGTTGTGCCAGGATGACGAGGAGGATAACTTCGCCATTGTGTTCGCCGCTATGGGTGTTAACATGGAAACTGCCGCGTTCTTCAAGCGAGATTTCGAAGAGAATGGTTCCATGGAGCGTGTGACACTCTTCCTCAATCTGGTAAGGCTGTTTTTTTTTTTTTCCTCCGCAGTTTTCTTCTTTCCGATCGATTATAATGTTTTAATGTTTGCCTCATCCTTGCAGGCCAACGACCCTACTATTGAGCGCATTATCACCCCTCGTATTGCTCTTACAACTGCTGAGTACCTCGCCTACGAGTGTGGAAAGCACGTGCTTGTCATCTTGACGGACATGAGTTCATACGCTGATGCGCTTCGTGAGGTGCGCTTTCTAACGCCCCACTTCCCGCCACTCTGCTAGTGCATTTGTTACTGCCGTTTCTTTCTTGCCCATTATGTTGACGTTCCGTTTTCAGCTGTGAGACTTGTTTCCCGTTCCCCACATTCCCCTTTCCCCAACTCCTCTAGTTCTTGCTCCTCTCACCGCCACCCTATGTTTTCCCCTATTTCTCGAAATGCAAATTTCTACTGGCAGGTTTCTGCAGCACGTGAGGAAGTACCCGGCCGTCGTGGTTACCCTGGATACATGTACACCGATCTTGCAACCATTTATGAGCGCGCTGGACGTATTGAGGGTCGCAAGGGCTCCATCACCCAGATTCCTATCCTGACCATGCCTAATGACGGTATGTACTGGCGCTGGTGTTTGGCTGATGCAGGAAAAGTCCAAATATTAGTTCCTGACATGTCCACGGCTGTGCTCACACAACGAGGATCAGATACTAGCATCTAGGGACTGCACGTGGTTGAGAGATTGCATGAAGATTTTCACATCTCAAATGAGGAATGTGGGCTGTTTCATGCCTGTGCTACAGATATCACTCACCCTATCCCTGATCTTACTGGTTACATTACGGAGGGACAAATCTACATCGACCGTCAGCTGCACAACAGACAGGTATGTGGTTCTGATGTGTTTTTATGAAAATCACATTGCATTTCGCATTTCTGTTGTGCCTTCTTGACATCATATGGCTGCTTCTTTGTTTGCAGATTTATCCTCCGATCAATGTGTTGCCATCTCTGTCTCGTCTTATGAAGGTATGCACTTAATTGCTTTCACATGCCATGGAGTCTCAATTCTCTTAGCTTGCATGGATACTACCATGCCTTGTCAAAACATTATCCCTCCTTCCTCCCGCTTCATCCTCCAGAGTGCTATCGGAGAAGGAATGACCCGCAAGGATCATGGTGATGTCTCCAACCAGGTCTGTATTTTCTATAGCACCTCTTAGTGCCACCTAGCTGTCACATTTTTTTCAATATTTGGGCTTTCACACTTCTCTCTTCTTATCTGTCCTTGGTGAACTCCAGCTCTATGCCAACTACGCTATTGGTCGTGATGTGCAAGCCATGAAGGCTGTTGTTGGAGAAGAAGCCTTGTCATCGGAAGATCTGGTATGTGGTATTCATGCCCTCCTCCTTTTGTGTGAAAGTCTGTCTGGTTGTCGGTTATCTTCTGTTGCACTCCTTGATTTTGCCCACTTTCATTTTGTGCACCTGGATTCAGCTCTACCTGGAGTTCCTGGACAAGTTCGAGCACAGATTCGTTACCCAGGGAGCCTATGACGCGCGCGACATCTACCAGTCTCTGGATCTGGCATGGACCCTTCTGCGTATCTTCCCCCGTGAGATGCTTCGTCGTGTGTCACCCAAGATCTTGGATGCCTTCTACAGCCGTGACTCCGACCACTAGAGATCGAAGCTTAGTTTACCTGCCAGAAGCGGCTCGCTTGCCCGCCCTCTGCATGCATGCTAGCATGTCCTGGAGCACCGGACCATATCGGAATGTGACTCATCCATTGTCTAAGTGCCACCTTGGACGTAGGAGCCAGACCACAGTACGCTTTGTACGAAGACATGGGATTTACAATATCTCTGTTGTAGGCCATACTTCGCCCTTATATGGCGTTCTACCATGTTAGTGCAATTCAGACACCTCCATTGTGTAGTGCAACTTAAAGCATGTACAAGGAAGCCTACCTAAGTCGATTAGCGCTGTAGTGTGCATAGGCAGGTATCTGTTTCGCGGGAATCTCACCTCGCCCAGGACCCTCCTGCCATCTCTGATCCAACCTCGAATGCACCAGCCAGGGAATCAACTTGACCCACTCACAAGTCCAGACCCTAAACTAGTGTGCTGGTCTATTCGGTAGACTAGCTAGTGGATCAGTCGCGGATTCTACTGCCGCTTCCGAATCCGGTTCTGCCTGCGTTACTTATTTTGTATCTGGTTGCTTGCGTAAGCTCATCGTTTTCGTTGATCTGGCAAAATGGCGTTGTTGCCACCAGGGATGAAGAAGGACGAAGATTTCGACGGAGAGTGTGAGTACTGCAGTCAAGTTAGTCCCTCAGCGAAGAAGGCTGAGATGGTTGCTCGGACATCTGCAGCACTGCAAGTTGAGAGTTTGAACCCCTGAAGTTTTCTGTTCGTCTGAATGCAGTCGAGTACTCTCCGTTCTTCGGGATCGAAAAAGGCTCCGTTCTTCAGGAAGCTCGCGTATTCAATGACCCTCAGCTGGATCCCCGAAGATGTGCGCAGGTCGGCATGCCATCCCTCACTTCTACAGGTTTCTGAGTCCAGGCTAGTCTTTCCTTCGTTCTAGGCTCCTTGTTTTGGTGAGGCATGGGCATGGATCTGAACCCATCATTTTTCTCCTATTGCAGGTTATTACCAAGCTGCTGTACTTGCTCAATCAAGGCGAAACGTTCACAAAGGTGAGGGTTTCTTACCGGCCTTGGTGACCCGAAGCTGTTCCCGAGAACGTGAAATTCGAGTCTAGGGGACTTGCTCTAACTGGCATCTTACTGCCCTCTCGTTCGTTGAGTTGCAGACGGAAGCGACGGAGGTCTTCTTTTCCGTCACCAAGCTCTTTCAATCAAACGACATCGGCCTTCGGCGATTTCTCTACCTCATGATCAAAGAGATCTCCCCATCATCCGACGAGGTAGTCCACCTGGATTCACGCCACCTCTTACTCTGACGAGGATTTCATTCAACACCAGGAGCATCCTTCCATTTCTAGATCTATCGCAATCTTTTCCGCGGTTGAATCCGTCTCTTTCCCTGCGGCAAACACACACAATCCCTTTCAACGTGTCCAGGTCATCATCGTGACGAGCTCTCTCATGAAGGACATGAACAGCAAGACGGACCTGTACAGAGCGAATGCCATCCGCGTGCTGTGCCGCATCACAGACGGCGGCTTGCTAGGCCAGATTGAGAGGTACCTGAAGCAGGCGGTCGTGGATAAGAACCCTGTCGTCGCCAGCGCTGCTCTCGTCAGCGGCTTCCACCTGCTCAAGGTACCTGATGCGCTGCTAGCCGTCTAGCCGGTTTTGCACACACGGCAGGCGAATCCGATTGCCGGATCGTCACACTGATGGAGTAGAATCTGGGAGTCAATTCGAGCAGGGATACGGGACAATTTTCTGTTGAATCTAACGACGTTTTTGGGTCGGTCGGTGGTGCTGCAGACGAATCCGGACATTGTGCGGAGGTGGAGCAATGAGATCCAGGAGGCGGTGCATTCCAAGTCGCCTCTCGTGCAGTTCCACGCCCTCGCACTCCTCCACCAGGTCAGCCATCGCTCGCTTGCACCAATGTCCACGTTGCTCGTCCTCTGCCTGCACTGTACTGCTGCTGTCGTTGCCTCCTCTAACTGCTCAGCAAGCTCAAATTCCATGCCGTGCGCTGCCTTCTGTTATGTGTCATCTACTTACGCGGATTTTTGTTCGCTCGTCTCTTGTGCTGTGGACCATCCGCTAAACAGATTCGGCAGAGCGATCGTCTGGCCATCAGCAAGCTGGTTACGAGCCTTGTTCGAGGTGCTGTGCGCTCGCCACTCGCACAGTGCCTCCTCGTGCGCTACACCTCCCAGGTAAGCTCTACGACTGCCAGATAAGCTCTGTCTCTGGCAGGTAACGTCTCTGCTCCTGCCACGTCAGGTAAGCTGTCTCTTGTTGCCAGTCATTACATGTACCATTTGTGCGAGCTGCTGCAGATGGCCCACCGCATTCCACCACGAACGACTTGCCAAATCGCTTCACCAATGCACGTGTTGCGTGCATGCCCCCCACACCAGGTGATCGAGGAGATGGGCCCCAACAACAACAACGCCCGCCCCTTCTTCGAGTTCCTCGAGAGCTGTCTGCGCCAGCGCGCCGACATGGTGATGCTGGAGGCCGCCCGCGCCATGACCGAGCTCACCGACATCACGGGCCGCGAGCTCACGCCCGCCATCACGGTGCTCCAGATGTTCCTCTCGTCGCCCAAGCCCGTGCTGCGCTTCGCTGCCATCCGCACGCTCAACAAGGTCGCCATGGCGCACCCGCAGGCGGTCACCAACTGCAACATCGACATGGAGACGCTGATTTCGGACCCGAACCGCAGCATTGCGACCCTGGCCATTACAACGCTGCTCAAGACGGGCAACGAGGCGAGCGTGGACCGGCTGATGAAGCAGATCACCAACTTCATGTCCGACATCGCGGACGAGTTCAAGATCGTCGTTGTGGAGGCCATCCGCTCGCTCTGCCTCAAATACCCCCAGAAATACCGTGTCCTGTGAGTCGGATATCCTGCCTCAGTCTAGCCTCCTCTCAGATAGTCTAGTCTCGTATCTGTCGTTTTTGCCGGTGATTGCCATTGGGTTGGATGGGCGTGACGTGGTGGCCTTGAGCTCACCGCAATATCATTCCTGCCTATGTTATCATTCCTGGCCCTGACCCCGGGTGCAGCATGAACTTCCTGAGCGGCATCTTGCGGGAGGAGGGCGGGTTTGAGTACAAGAAGGCGATAGTGGACTCCATCCTCATCCTCATCCGGGAGATCCCCGACGCGAAGGAGATTGGCCTCTCGCACCTCTGCGAGTTCATCGAGGACTGCGAGTTCACCTACCTCTCTTCGCAGGTGCGCTGGCACACGGGGACTGTCCATCTCTCGTTGGCTTTCTCCTTGTGTGTTATAGTCACCTCTCCTCATCGTCTCGTCCAGAAAGCCAATGCCCTCGCGCCTCGCTACAAAATCGCTCCAGCTGTCCAGCAGTCCATGCTCCTCTTAGTTGGCTCCCTGCCCTCGTGAGCAGGCAGGCTCCCTGACGTTCCATGACTCCATTGTAGCCCTCATGCGCAATTCTTCTACCTCATCTCTGTCTTGTTCCCACCTCCTTGCAGATTCTGCATCTGCTGGGCAACGAGGGCCCCAAGACGCCGGAGCCTGCGCGGTACATCCGGTTCATCTACAACCGAGTCATTCTAGAGAACGCCACTGTCAGGGCCAGCGCCGTCAGCACCCTCGCCAAGTTCGGCGCACAAGTGGAATCCCTCCGGGTAGGTTGGACTGAGGGGGGTCGCCAAGCTTGGGGAACTAGTGGAGGAGTGTCTTAGAGTGGGCTGGGACTGGGGGAGGTGTCATGCGTGAGTGGATGGCATTGCCATTCAAGTGAGAGCCTACTGCACCCGTGTTCCCCACCTCTGCCTGCACTGAATGGCATTTCTTCATTACCTCATGGGTTGTCTTGTCTCCCCTTTCCCCCCCTCCCCCCTCCCCCGTCCCCCCTCCCCCATCCCCATTTGTTCTTGGCAGCCTCGCATCGTCACCCTGCTGCGCCGGTGTCTTTACGACAACGACGATGAAGTAAGCTGCCATCTATCCACACCTCAGTACCACCTCACGTTCACACAACGCACTCATACCATCTCCCCTGCATGCCTGTTCGTCACGTTTTCATCAGCTGGCCCACCGTCCGTCTCATACCTTTCTCATATATAATCTTCCTTTGCTTCCTTCTCCCGAACGACATCTCTGCCCTGTCCTTATCCCACCCCCCATCAGGTGCGGGACCGCGCAACGCTATACCTGAACGTGCTGGGAGGGGATGGGCAGGAGTCGGTGGCAGCCACTGGCGCCAGCGACTTCATGCTTGAGGCGCTGGAAGTGCCCCTCGTCAACCTCGAGGCCTCCCTCAAGCAATACGTGAGTCTACCTCTAGGCCATCCTCATGCAATACGTGAGTCAACCTCCAGGCCTCCTTCACGCAATACGTGAGCCTAACCTTCTTTTTCTCTTCCACTCCTCCCCCCCATCAGGAGCCGAGCGAGGCGCCGTTTGACATAGACAGCGTGTCCAAGGAGGTGAAGGGGCTGCCACCAGCCAAAGGCTGTGCCCTGAGGCACTTCAAAGCCTAACTCTGTTGTTGCGTTCTTATATCTGCCCCCCACCCATCAGGAGCCGAGCGAGGCGCCGTTTGACATAGACAGCGTGCCCAAGGAGGTGAAGGGGCTGCCGCCATCCAAGGCGGGCTCCAAGAAGGCCGCCAAGGAGGCCGCAGGGGCCAAGGCGGCAGGCGGTGGCGTGTCGGCGTCAGAGGCGTATGAGAAGCTGCTCAACTCCATCCCTGAGTTCGCCACCTTCGGCAAGCTGTTCAAGGTGCCATGGCTAGCCGCAGCTGGGGTTTGAAGTGGCGTGCGCTCTCAGGGTGGGATTGCAGGCTCATGAAAGATGAGATGGGATGGGCATTCATGCTGTGCTGTGCATGGCGAGCTGTCCCAGGATGTCTTCGCATGCCTCCCTCCCCCTCCCGCCCCCCTCCCGCCCGCCCCCTCCCGCCCCCCTCCCCCCTCCCTCTTCCCCCCCTCCCGCCCGCCCTGTCTCCTCCTTCACCCCACCTCCCCCCCGCCCCATCTCCTCCTCCCCCCCCGCCTCTCCCCTGCAGTCGTCGGCGCCAGTGGAGCTGACGGAGGCGGAGACGGAGTACAGTGTGAACAGAGGAGGATGTTCTTCTCCCTGTTCTTATTCGTCCCCACCCCTTCCTCCCTCCGTACTGGCCCTCCCCAATCCTCCCACCCTGGCCCCCCTCCCCTGCAGTCGTCGGCGCCAGTGGAGCTGACGGAGGCGGAGACGGAGTACAGTGTGAACGTGGTGAAGCACGTGTTCCCTGCACACATGGTCTTCCAGTTCAACTGCACCAACACCATCGCCGAGCAGATGCTGCAGGACGTGAGTGCCGTGTGCAGGACCCTGTTGCATTGCCTTGCTGTGCCATTCTTTTCGCGCAGGGTTGTTGGACATCGCCCTCTTTCTTTTGCCATCTCACAAAGCTGCAGTTTGCCTGCCTCATACCCAAAGATTTCAAACCCCCTCCCCCCCTCTCCCCACCCCCTTCCTTGTTTCCCCCACCCCACAGGTCACGGTGCTCATGGACCTCGCAGAGGCGGAGGAGTTCGAGGAGGTGGCGTCCATCCCCCTCAAGGCCATGGCGTACGGCGTGCCAGGGCAGACGTTTGTGGCGTTGTCGAAGCCCGAGGGCGCGCTGACGCTGGGCAAGATCACCAACATCATGAAGTTCAAGGTGGTGGAGGTGGACCCGAATACTGGCGATGCGGAGGAGGAGGGGTATGAGGACGAGTACCAGCTGGAAGACCTCGAGGTGAGAGTGGGTGGCCAATCAGGGGTGCGTGGTTCTGGCACCAGGACAGACACCTGTGGCTGACGCTGGGCAGGATCACCAACATCATGAAGTTGAGAGGGGTGGAGACGGGCCTGAGAACAGTGGAGGGGGACCTGAGAACAGGGGAGGCGGAGGAGGAGGGGTAGAGGTCGAGTGCCAACTGGAAGTCCTCGAGGTGAAACCCTGGAATGGTGATTGACGAATGGCAGATGAGGCTTGCCCAATTGATGAATGGATGGCTTCTACTGCAGAGCAGAATGCTAATGTAGGATGGATGGATTCAATGGTATTGGTTGCCCCTGGAAACAGCTCCCTGGGTCGTGCCGAGCCTCAGAGCACACTCTTGTCTTCAGAGCATGCCGGACATTCTAGGCGTTGCATGAAGGCATCATGCCAAGTCATTACACACGTTCTTAATCGCAGGATCCACGCCCTTAGATCGTAATTTGTGCAACCCCTTTCAATGCCCCCTTCCCCCCTTCCCCCCCTCCTGTGCTTGTCAGGTGTCGTCGGCTGACTACGTGCGGAAGCTGAGCGTGCCCAACTTCAGAGCAGCATGGGAGGCCATCGACCCCTCCCTGGAGCGCGTGGACGAGTACGGGCTGGGCGTGAGAGACAGCCTCCAAGAGGCAGTGGAGGCCGTCATCACCATCCTCGGCATGCAGCCCTGCGAGAGCAGCGAGAACGTGCCGTCGAATGCGCGCTCGCACCAGTGTTTGCTGGCTGGGACGTTCCCCGGGGATGTGTCGGCGCTGGTGCGGTTGTCGTTTGGCATGGACGCTCAGAAGCAGGTGGCCATGAAGCTGGCTGCACGGTCGGAGGATGTCACGATCAGCGACCTGGTGCATGAGATCATTGCCAACGCGTAGACTGGTCTGTTCTCTGGTGGAAAGGCTGGTGTTCTTTTGGCACAATGTACTGCTGCTTATGCACTATATATACGTCACTCATGCCGCATACTCTTTCAGGCACTGCACTGCCCGAAGATGGAGGCTCTATACTTCTGATGTGTACAACTGAAAGTGTGGTCTGGAGTCCGCACAACCATTCTTACTCACACAAGTAGCAACAACTCCTAAATGTGTGGAACATGCCCTTCGAACGAGGATTTAAGGGAACACCTTCTCCTACCCTAGACGATGATGTTAGGTATGGTAAGCAATATATCAACATCACTCAAGCTTGCATCATGATCCATAGGACCATAGCCCGTCACCGCCCAACCATCGCCTCATCACAAGCCCCTAGGCACAAGCACTGCATCATAACCATCACGTCAAACCAGCACATCACTCAGCCGTCGCATCCCCCTTCCCATCCGCCTGCCCCGTCTGGTCCTTCCCCTCTGCCCCAGCTTCCCTCGCCAGCACAGCCATGGCAGTGGCATCCTTCCTCCCAGCACGTGGTTTAGGCCCCCAGTACGCCTCTGGGTTCGGCACAAAGCGAGCCACTCCCTTCTGCTGTGCCTTGCTCAAAGCCTTGGGCGCTTTTGCGAAGTTGGCCTGGGGCGAGGCGGACAGAAGGGAGAGAGGGCTTATGGGCACATGGCTCGGGCCCTGGAAGCTCCACTCTTCTGCTATGCAGTGCTCGAGATCCGTTTGAATCCACAAGGCCGGGATATGCAACGCCTACCTAACAGTGTGGATGCAGAGGTGTTACCTCGATGGTGGGCGGCTTGGCGAGAATAGTGTCTGCTGGGCTACCCTCCCCCTGCGACTTGACTGGATGGTCACGGATCTGGTTACCACAAGGGGGTAAGTGGAGTGGTACACAGCGAGACATGCAGGAGAGTGACGCGAAGCCACAGCATGTACGTTCACATGCCACATCACCACATCATGCATAAGCCCATGAAAACATGGTTTGTGTTGCCATGCCATCATCCAAAGATCCCCTCTCTGCCCCCCCTTCCGATACCATGCGTGACTCACCCAGCATCGCATGACATCCCAGATCAGCCCCAAGGGAGCGTCTGTCTTGATGCCCAGCGGGTTGGAGTGCGCGCCTGACACGCGGTGGCCTGCGTTGACCAGCGCGGACCGGAACAGCAGCATGCTGGGGGGCGTGCACTTGAGCGTGGCGCTGATCTCATGCAGGTCGATGTACAGCGGGATGTCATGCAGCTCCTGGCGATGGGAGGGAGGGGAAAGGGGGGTCTCAATGAGTCAGTTGTCGCACTTGAGTGATTTTGTGCAGGTCGATGTACAGCGGGATGTCATGCAGCACCCTTGATTTTGCAGGGTGTTTTTGAGAATTCTCAAAAACACCCTGTCATGCAGCACCCGGGAACCAGAGAGGGATAGGAAGAAGGGAAAAAGGGGGGAGGTGGGGGGGTGCTGTTTGCACGTGAGTGCGGCTGATCTGATGCAGGACGGGCGGTGTTCAGAGGGATGGCGTGTAGCTGCTGGGGATCGGAGAGGGGGAGGTGGAGGGGTGTGGAAGTGGCAGGAGAAGGAGGTCTCGGAACATCGTTCAACTGGCCCAGGTCCATTTGCAGGAGGATATGGTGCAGCTCTTGGGACTCACGGGAGGTTTTGGGGGCAGGGGGTGAGAGGAGGGAATTGGGGGGGTGTGGGGATATCGAGGCGAGAGGGCCCTCTAAACAGGACCTCTTATTTTCATGTAGACAGCTCTGCTCATGGGCCTGCTCATGGGTCTGCTCATGGGTCTGCTCATTTTGGGATGACATATTTGCCCCCCTCCCTGCCCTCTCCCCACATTCCCCACTCTTCCCCCCTTACCTCAGACACGGCAGTCAGCAGCCCATGCACCTTGCCAAACCCAGCCAGCTTCGCCTTCCCCGCTTGCACCTCCCCCAGAATCAGCCGAACCCAGCTGGCGTCGTGGATCGGCGCGGACCACATGGGCCCCCCGATGCTCAGATGCCGCCCGCAGTGCTCACAGGCGGGGGGAATCACCGGGCCTAAGCCGGGGAGGTACCTGGGGGGAGGGGGAGGGGCGTCTGGTTTCTGGAGAAAAGGATGGGGAGAAGGAGTGGGAGAGAAAAGGGAAAAGGAGAGAGACAGTTAAATGAAAAGGGAGAGACATTCAACTGAAAGGCAGAGGAGTGGGGGGGAGGGATGGGGACAGATTTGATAGGGGAGAGGAGAAGAGGCCGACGAAAGGGAGTAGTTATGATAGCGGCGATGACAGCAAGAGATGCCAATTGACATCTTCAAGTAACTTTGAAGTCTCAGATGTCCTGATTCTCAGATGTCCTGATTCTCAGATGTCCTGATTCTCACCTTAGCCCGTCCATCCACAACCCGGCCAACAGGTTGCAGGTGGTAGGAGTCACACCCGGAGCACTGGAAGACATACGCCAGCTTGCTTGGCGTCGCTTTAACAGCCTGGGCTGATCTGGAGAGTGGGCAACAGGAGCACGCGGAAGAACAAAATAGGGATTCTTTGCCCGGATCCGCCCACTTGGTGGGATGTCATTCCACGTACTACAAGTGACTTGCTTTTTTTTCACATCGAGTCGTCGCACGAGGGAACTTGCATCCAGGCAGAGACAATCATTCCGAATACCCTTCACTGCCGCCGGGCAAAGAGCGGGACGCATGTGGAGACTCGTACGAAGACGCAGAAGTCAACCGACTCGTACAGTGAACTCCACAGGGTCATCTCAAAAGGATTCAACGCGAATACCCTCAACTGCCACCCAGAGAACGGGACTCACGTGAAGACGCGCACGAAGACGCGGATGTGGAAGTCAACGGACTCACAGCGTCAACTGCAACCGGGTCAATGCAGATGGATTCAACGCAAGATCCTAAACTGCTGGCCAGAGATCCGACTCACGTGAAGACGCGCACGAAGACACGGACGTAGAAGTCAACGGACACGGACAGCACCGGCACTATGTGGCGCTTGAAGCGGTTGGCTGCGCTCTGGTAGGTGCCAGGGGCATGCGATGAGCGGAGAGGAGGAGGAAGGGCACTGAGAGAAGTGGGAGGGGGGATGGGAAGAGGCTGAAAGGGAGGAGTCCCCTGTGGCGACTGCTGGGGTAAAAGGGGGAAGGATACCTCAATGGAGGCGAGCAGTATGCGGGTACTTTGAGTCGACTCAAAAGCAGGGATGGGAAGGGGCTAAAACGAAAGGAGGCCCCTGTGGAGAGCGCTTTGATTAAGAGGGGAGGGATACCTCGATGGAGGCCAGCAGTATGCGGATGGCCATCTCGTGACAATACTTGGCGCGGTGTGGATAGCCCCCGTACCTGATACAGTCATATACAGAGGGCACAGAGGGCACAGCCGACACATGGGGCACAGAGGGCACAGAGGGCAGCAGAGGGCAGCAGAAGAGTCCTGGTTGAACTGCTGGTTGGTCACCTCCTGCGTTGCAAGAAAGTACATGGGGTCACCTCCTCATGCAGGTCCTAAACCCTAGCAGACCCCAGCATGGTTCATGCCCAGCACTGCCATGTCAATCCCATGTCAATCCCATGTCAATCCCATGTCAATCCCATGTCAATCCCACGTCAATCAGTGGCCGTCACCCGCCGGACCATACCATGCCACAGAGGCAGGCCTGAGCCCTAACAAATCCTACACGTCTCCGAGCTACGCCTCGGCTTACTTGGAGTAGCAGACCTTGGTGTCGCTCCCGCACAGCAGTGCCATGTCAGTCAGTGGTCATCACCAGCAACACGCTAGCCCTACTGAAACCCTGCACCTGAATTTCGCTTGTGTTCCCACAAAAAGACCTCGGCTCACTTGGAGTAGCAGACCTCGGCGTTGTTGCCGCACAGCACAGCCATGTCGGTGGCTGTCACCAGCAGCATGCCCCCATCCGCCACGGCCTGCACGGCGCCGTCCAAAAAGACAGAGGGCGACCCGTATGGGTCCAGGTCCACCTGGGGAAGGTAGGAAACAGTGGGTAGAAGGGCGATGGGGAAAAGAAGGGAGCATGGGGGGGGGGGGGGGGGGGGGATTGGAAAGGGGTGAATGTTAAAGGGGAGAAGCAGAGAGGCAGCATTGGGAAGGAGACAAGCTGTAAGGAGAGAATGACTTTCCAGACTCACGAATGATGTGATACTCATGAAGGCTGGCCAAAGGATGTGGCTGGGCCAACCTATCTGCTACACTCACCGCATCAAACTCCCTCTCATGCAGTATCATGTACACTCGCGCATCCCCCTGCTCCGCTTTCACACGTGCCGGCTCCTCTCCCTCTCTCGCCCCCTCACCCTCCCATCCTTTCCCCCCCTTCCCCTCCTCCTCCCCCCCCCTCCTTCCCATCCTCCTTGCCCTCCCCGCCCTCAGCAGCAGCAGCGTCTCTCGCTGGTGCAGCGCCAAAGTTGTGCAGCACGTTGCGCTGGCACGCCTGCACGGCCACAGGGTCGTTGTCCAGAGCCACCACAGAGCCCACTCCGGGGATCTCCTTGGCGTACCGGATCGACCGCAGCCCCGACGCCGCTAGCCCCTGGGAGGGGGGAGGAGAGTGTGGAATAAGAGGTGCGCTGAAGCATGGTCGAAGGTTCAAGGTTTGAGGTTTAAGAGGGGCTTACAGGGGAGAGGACGTCAGGGAGGAGGAGGATAGCTGACCGGTACATGGGTAAATACCAACCTCTAGAATCCGCAAAGGCTTCCCTTCACGCAGATTCGCCTGCTGCTGCGGCGGCGGCGGCTGTTGTCCCGCTTGTGCTTCTGCTGCTGCATCGGTTGCAGCAGCAGCGCCCCCCTTCTCTCCGCTCTTCTCCTCCGTCTCCTGCGCATCTCTTCCCTCTCCCTCCTTCACCTCCGTCTGTTCTCCCTTCCCCTCCCCCGCTTCCCCATTTTCCGCGCCTTCCCCTTTCCCCGCGGTTTCCCCTTTCTCCGCGCCTCTCAGCTTCCCCGCAGCCGCCGCCGCAGCAGCCGCCGCAAGATCCGCATTGGGGTGTTTAAGATACGCCCGCCCTTTCACCCCGCGCGCTACAGCCGCGGCTCGCTGATTCGCCTCCTCCCCCCTAACCGCGACGAAAGCGCGGAGCACGGAGATCGACAGGTCGCGATTAACTACCTGTGCCTTGTTATAGAACACGTCGTTACCCTGTACTAAGATCTCTGCTGCCCCTTCTTTCAAAACCTTAAACCCTGCTGACGGCCCCATTCCCGCGCCTGCCCCTCCCCCTGCCTCCCCTGCGCCAGCGCCAGCGCTTCCCCCAGCGCCCGCGGAGCTCTCTTCCCCCGCCACCGCCGCTTCCCCCTTTGACTTTTTGTGTTCCGCCTCCGCTTCCCCCTCCGCCTTGCGCTTATCCACCATTGGAGGGGGCGTTTGCGCGGAAGTCAACACGCGCGCAGATATCACTGGGCGCAAGGATTCCAATACACGCGGGGTTCCTAATGCGCCCGGAAATCCCAATATACCCCCAGAAATCAACCGCCACACAGCTTTCGGCGCGCGTTCGATCGAAGGAGAGCGCCGAGCGCGGGCCGACTGAGCCCAATGTGACTGTATCTCGCGGACGAGCGTGGCTATCAAGAGGCCCCCACTGGTGCGGAGGTCACGCATGCGCGTATTTATGCGGAGTCTACGCGCGGAATGCTACCGCACTAGAATGCTTCAGCTAAGTCGAGGTACGTACAGGGACTGGAATCTGGATCCTGCATCTCAAATTACCGCGCTAAACGGTTGCCTCGGTAAGTGTACAGCGCACAGAATAACAACTGGGTTCACATGCTACATTTCCACTGCATAAGTGAGGGCTTATGGCAAAGCCTCGCATACATCATAGAAGTACCTAATGGCTTCATCATATTTGTCCCGCCTAATGTTGCAACGAGGCTCCGCAACTGCCAGCAGATTTGCGACTGGGCCTAAAACACTAGCTCCCGGAGCCACACTGTCATTGTTTGGAGGACGAGGTACTTCTGAGGCAGATGCTTGCACTTGAAGGTCGCGTGTGGGCGCAGTGTTGGAGTGTTGGGCCACGGTGAGCCCGCTGAGGGCGTAGCACGTGTGGTAGTAGTCGCGCGACTTGCTTGGCTTGTCCCTCAACCCGCCCTCGGGCACCTGGAGGCATGGGAAGTGCGGACACGATGATGGTGCGAGGATGTTTTTGAGAATTCTCAAAAACACCCTGCAAAATCAAGGTGCCGACATGATGATGGTGCGAGGATGTTTTTGAGAATTCTCAAAAACACCCTGCAAAATGAAGGTGCCGACACGATGATGGTGCGAGGATGGTGCAAGCAGGGTACGGAACAGACGATTTTTGAGGCGCCTCAAAAACAGGGGGGAAATAAACGGACAAGCAGCGCTCAGGCGAGTTGCTAACCTGGCAGCACAGCAGCAGGTATGCCCGTGGTGCCATGTCATTTTAACAGAAGCTGCGGTGGTATGCCGCGTCAGTAGCATACCATCTCGCTCAGTTACCATCATACAATGTCAACCCCCCCTCTGCTCAGTTACCATCATACAATGTCAACCCCCCCTCTGCTCAGTTACCATCATACAATGTCAACCCCCCCTCTGCTCAGTTACCATCATACAATGTCAACCCCCCCTCTGCTCAGTTACCTACCTGGCAGCAGAGCAGCAGGTATGCCTGCAGTGCCATGTCATTGTAACAGAAGCTGCCAACCCAATCACGCCCACCCACCCCTTCTACACTTGCTCCTTCTCCCAACTCCCTTCCCGCCACACCTGTTGCCCCTTCCCTGCCCTCCTCTCTCTCTCCTCCCCTCGTCCCTCCTCCCCTCCCCTCTCCTCCCTCCCCAGCACCAGCAGGCAGTGGCAGGGACTCGGGACAGGGGAAGAGGTCAGCAGCAGACGCAGAGGGAACATGGTGGAATGACTCGAATCCTGCCTCCTCCCAGTCATCCTCCTCCTCCTCCTCCTCCTCCTCCTCCTCCTCCTCCTCCTCCTCCTCCTCCTCCTCCTCCTCCTCCTCCTCCTCCTCCTCCTCCTCCTCCTCCTCCTCCTCCTCCTCCTCCTCCTCCTCCTCCTCACCGGCATCATCCCCACCTCCGTCCTCAGCGCCAGGGCGCCATTCAGCCCCGCTGCTACTCGATGCCCGCTGGGGTGGCCTGTCCCTTGGTTCAGAACCCGAATTCTGCGACGGGGGAGCGGTATTCGGCAGTCTGTCAGGGCCGCCTGGCTGCTCTCGAACCTCACTTGGCTGGCTGTGGGAGGCGCAGAGGGCGAGGAGAGGGAAGAGCCCGCCCTGCCACATGCTGTAGCAGGCGTCCACCAGCTTGTTGGTCCGCCCCTGGAACCCGCCCTCCACTGCGCCCTGGCGAAACACCAGCCACTCCTGTGGAACAGACAGACAGACAGACAGACAGACGTGTTGGGAGCGAGAGTTGGGGTGGGGAAAGCGGGCGCTTGAGGAGCGCCCACGACCTTGTTGCTTGGCCCCTGCAAGCAAGCCGCCCTCCACTGTGCCGTGGCGAAACACCAGCCACTCCAGGTGGAAGAGACAGACAGACGCAGCAACAGCAGGGGCGCTGGAAGAGGGGAGGAGGGGGAAGAGGAGAGGAGGGGGAAGAGGAGAGGAGGGGGAAGAGGAGAGGAGGGGGAAGAGGAGAGGAGGGGGAAGAGGAGAGGAGGGGGAAGAGGAGAGGAGAGGGAAGAGGAGAGGAGGGGGAAGAGCCTGTCCTGCCACATGCAGTAGCATGCGTCCACCAGCTTGCTGGTCCGCCCCTGAAACCCGCCCTCCACGCTGCCTTGGCGAAACACCAACCACTCCTGTTGCGGGGATGGGCGGAGTGGTGGCAGGGGGAGGGGCGGGTGGAGCAAAGGAGGGGACGTGCGGGCGACGGAGCAGGCATATGTGCAGCGCGATAGGCAGTGGAGGCATAGGACTGGGTACAGGAGCAGAGGAGAGACGAGGTCAGCTGGCACACGGAGAGCAGGGGCTGAACTGGTGCGAGCAGGGCGGCAATTACGCGGAGTAGCAGGAGTGCAAAGAGGGGCGGTAAGTGGAGGAAGTGGAGGAACAGAGGGGGAGCAGAAGCGGTGTAACAGATACCACAGTGGGAAGGAGGTTCGGGTGGAAGGGGAGGCGGGGTGCAGTGATACACACCAGGAGCACTTGCAGGTCTAGATACTCCCAGGGGTCGGCGCCAGCCAATAGCAATGCAGCGAGCCCACAGAACGTGTAGCTGCGAGGAGAGAGGTCAAAGAGAAGGAGACATCGAAGGGAGGCACAATGGGAGGTCGTTAATTGAGGCGCCACAAAAATCGGCGCCAGCCAGTGGTAATGCAGAGAGGTGGAGGGGAAAGAGAAATCCAAGGGAGGCACAACGGTTGAGAGCGAAGAGGAAGGAGAGGGGAGGGAGAAAGCACATAAAGTTCTCCTCATTCACTCATTCACTCATTCACTCATTCACTCATTCACTCATTCACTCATTCACTCATTCACTCATTCTCTCATTCACTCACTCATTCACTCATACATTCATTCACATCACAACTAGTCAATTCCTCTTTCAAAGGTGAGACTGATGAGTGGGCGTGATGTGCCTCCATGAAACGAATTCCCACCCCCGATCTCTCTTAAAGCTCCCTTCCTCACCTCCCATGCGGCCCCACACGCATTCCCATCCCATCCCCACCCCTTCATCCCCATCCCACTCACCCCTCCTTTCCAATCTCCCCCCATCTCCCCCATCTCCCCCATCTCCCCCATCTCCCCCATCTCCCCCATCTCCCCCATCTCCCCCATCTCCCCCATCTCCCCCATCTCCCCCATCTCCCCCCACTCACCCCCCATGCGCCTCTGCTCCAGGCTCCCCTCCAATGCCCCCTTCGTACGTTTGACAACTGTTGCGGGAACGGAGACAATCGGGAAGTTACAAGAAACAGTGTGGCAAGGCATTAAGTTATCACATGTATCACTTCCATATGCATCACCACGCATCACCACTCATCACCATGCATCACCACTCATCACCTCTCATCACCACCCATCACCACTCATCACCACCCATCACCACTCATCACCACCCATCACCACTCCTCACCACTCATCACCTCTCCACATATCACAGCATATCACATCTGCACAAAAATCATCCTACCTCACAGTATATCACCTCGCAATTTCCCACCTCTGCACGTATCCTCACACACCACCCCACACCACCCCACATCACCGCACATCACCTCTGCACGTATCTCGCCACATGGTGTGTGAGGTCAGGCGTGCGGATGTTGAGCAGATGAGCCACCTGCAGGGTCGAGAGGCAGAGCAGAAAGGGCCACAATGGAGGGATGCTGTGCTGAGCAGGTGAGCCGCCAAAATGCCAATTGACTTCTGGGTCGACTCAAAGGTGTGTGAGGTCGGGCGTGCGGATGTTGAGCAGATGTGCCACCTGCAGGGGCGAGAGGCAGAGCAGAGCAGAAAGGAGGATGCTGAATGCCTCTTCTTTCTGCTGCATACAGAAAAGGACCGCAACGGAAGGATGCTGAGCAGGTGAGCCGTCCAAGTGCCTATTGACTTTTGGGTCGACTAAAAGGTGTGTGCGGTCAGGCGTGCGGATGCTGACTTTGGAAAAATAAAAATAAAAAAAATCAACAGAAGAATGCTGAGCGGGTGAGCTGCCCAAGGGGCCAACGGGAGAACAAGGGGGGGAAGGAAGGGCAAAACATGGGGCATTCAGAATGTGGAGGAAGGGAGGGAGGGGGGAGGGAGGAAGGTGCAGCATATGAGAACGAGGGGCGAATGGGAGAACAAGGGGGGGGGAAGAAGAGCAAAACATGGGGCAGGGAGAGGAGGGAGGGAGGGAGGGGAGGTGCAGCAAGCACGTACCGCCATGGCAGTGTAGCAGCCCCTGACGTCCGTTTCGCCGCCTTGATGCAGCCTGGGAAGCAGAAGTAGGCAGCAGGGGGGTGACACGGCACGTGTGAGTGGATGCCACGACATGCACTGCATGTAATGCATAATGTGCTGGGAATCAGAACAGTCACCTGAAGCCTCCTGGAGGCAACAAAGAGGCTCACCTGAAGCCTCCTGGAGGCAACAGAGGCTCACCTGAAGCCTCCTGGAGGCAACAGAGGCTCACCTGAAGCCTCCTGAAGAAGAGCACTTCATGCGGCGTAGGAAAGCCAGCATTGACTGCCTGAGGTGGGACGGGCAGATGAGGGGCCGAGGGCATGAAGCACGGGCATGAGACAAGGACCATGGGAGGGGTGATGGGGGTGAAGCGGGAGAGGCGGGAGGGGTAACGCATGAGTGGTGCATGCAGGCGGAGGAACGAGAACGGGCACAAGACACGGGCCATGGGAGGTCGAATGCACACCTGTTGACAACGGAGAGCGCGTCCTCCCCTCCCACCGTCACCAGCGCTGCCACGCCTGCATACGTGGTGGCCAGGTGAGCGAGCTGCGCAGCCATGGGTGAGAGGCGAGGGTGAGTGGTGGGTAGAATGGGGGGGAGCGGGGGGGGAAAGGTGGGGGAGTACAAGGAACCTTGATGGATAGGGGAGGATGGGGAGGGGAGCGCAAGGAGGAAGCAGCAAGCATGCACGGTTGACGGATGCAGCAAGCATGCACGGTTGACGGAAGCAGCAAGCATGCACGGTTGACGGAAGCAGCAAGCATGCACGGTTGACGGAAGCAGCAAGCATGCACCGTTGACGGAAGCAGCAAGCATGCACCGTTGACGGAAGCAGCAAGCATGCACCGTTGACGGAAGCAGCAAGCATGCACGGTTGACGGAAGCAGCAAGCATGCACGGTTGACGGAAGCAGCAAGCATGCACGGTTGACGGAAGCAGCAAGCATGCACGGTTGACGGAAGCAGCAAGCATGCATGGTTGACGGAAGCAGCAAGCATGCACGGTTGACGGAAGCAGCAAGCATGCACCATTGACGGAAGCAGCAAGCATGCACCGTCGACGGAATCAGCAAGGGGAGAAGAAAACGGAGGACTGGCAGGCATCAAGATGGCTGAATGATAGGAGAAGCACAAGGTAAGATGACTTCTATCTGACTGCCCTCACCTGCCCTGGGCCCCCTCCAAAGCCACCCTCAGGATGCTGTGGGGGGGAGGGAGAAGGATGGGTTGAGTGGGGAGGGAAGAGAAGAGTGGGGGCTGAGGGGATAAGAGTTTGAGAGAGTGGGAATGAGTGGAGGAGGAGAAAGTGGGGAGGGGAAAGTGGGGAGGGGACAGTGGGACGGCATTCGGTCGGATAAGTTAGGCTAAATGGGAAGGAACAAAACACATGGGCCGTTCATTATTGCTTCTGCACTACTCTCACCAGTTACCTCCTGAACACCCATCTGACTCCACCACCCAGGACGACCTGAAGCCTCACCTGGCAGCACCTGACTTCGCACCTGGCAGCACCGGGTTCCCCACCTGGCAGCACCTGGGTTTTCACCTGGCAGCGGCGGAGGGTGTCGGCGCAACGAGCAGCAAGACCAGGGCCAAGGGGGTGCTGGAGGAGGGCGAGCGAGTGCACGATCCAGAACACAAGCCACGGCCGACTGGCAGCCGCAGCAGCACAACGGAGGTGGGGAAGGGACAGGGCGAAGGGGGGAAGGGGAAGGGAGAAGGGAGGAGAACGGGGGGTGGAGGTGATGGAAGGGGGGAGACTAGGTGACTTTTGAGTCGACTCAAAAGTCACCTCCAAGGGGAAGGGAGAAGGGAGGAGAAAGGGTGGTGGAGGTGATGGAGGGGGGCGTGGGGAGGTGGGGGGGTCGAGGACAGGTGAATCGGTGGACCCAGCAATCGATAACCTGTGGACAGAGGTGGTGAGTACGAGTTTCAAAGTGCGTTGCGTTCTACATTCCTCGTACGTTGCAGCAATCTGAACACAGGGTATGTGCTTCCGCGCCCGTTTTGAACGGACACGTCGGACGATGGATGAGGTGCTGACCTGGCGTCCAGGCTGGCGTAGCTGCTGGACAGGTGGTCCAGCCCCTTAAGGAGGAACCGCACGTGTCGCTCCCGCAACAGCCGCAGCCCCTCGCCTCCGCTCCCGCCCCTGTCTTTCCGCCTTCCGCCCTCCGCCTCCTCCCCTCCCGCGCCCCCCCTGCGAGAATAGCGAACGAGGGGAACAGGGAGATGCGCAAGCGACTGGGACAGGGAAACGCGCAAGCGCGACGGGGACGGCGTGAAACGACGGAGAGAAGGGCGGAAGGCGGAAGGCGGAAGGTGGAAAGCAATGGGGAAGCCGCGGAGAGACGCAAGCCAGTCGATCAGAGCAGGTGCGATTTGCGATTACTGGGGGCAAAAAAGCAGATACGATTGGTGTAACGAGCAGTCGGAAGGGCAACAATACGCTGTGACTTGCGAGCACCAAGTGGCGGGTGCAACAAGACGCTTCGACTGCCGCGTACTACGAGAAATAGGAAATTAGCCATCGGCGCGCTCTGCTCACCTAGTCCCTGAGCCCGAGCCGCCGCTGCGCGCCAGCCACTCGCCGTAGATTCTGCTCACGGCCTCCTCCAGCTCATCCTGAGCGTCGATCGTCGACATGGCGAACGGGAGGAATCGGACGGATGAGAGGAGCTAACGAGGCAAGGTAGGGCAAGGGCAAGGTAAGGCAAGGTAAGGTAAGGTAAGGCCCTAGCACCAGGAGTTAAGGCAAAGTAAAGTAACGCCTCGCCGCAGGTGACGGGGTAAGGCAGGAATGTACGAATGAGTCTTGAGGCGCCTCACACTGGTGACGGGATCCAACGTAAGGAATCTACGAATCAGTGAGACAGTTGCTCCACGGAGCGGAGGGGCAAAAACTATGCTCGGAATACGCGCCGAGTGCCTGAGTGAGGAAAAGATATCAGAGCCAGGTTTCGATCCTGGGACCTGTGGGTTATGGGCCCACCACGCTTCCGCTGCGCCACTCTGATACGTTAAAATTGCTAATGTTTAACAACTGATATGTTATTGATTTAATAGTCATCTCGCGTGCGCGTGAAGTTCCGTAGCGAGCGGCGGGATGGCGAGGGTGCTCGGGTCGCCAGGCGGGTCGCGCGTGGCCGTCGCTCTGGTATTCTTCGCAATTGTGGTCGCATGGACCGTCGCTTACTTTGCCACCGCGCACTTCACGCTGCTCACGCCCTCCGCCATCGCTCTCCTCAGCAGCGGCGGTAGCGGGACGAGCAGCATCTCAAACGCAGCCTCCTGGGGCGCGTGGTTTCCACGCCTGCAGATTCGCCAGCCGGCGCAGCAGCAGCAGAAGCAGCAGCAGAAGCAGGAAGAGGATTCGGTGAAGCAGAATGAGGGAAAGCAAGCAGCGACAAGTAGCAGAGCGGGGACGGGACCGGCGCAGCAGCAGCATTCCCAGCAACACACAGAGCAGCAGGCAGGGCAGCAGACGGGGCAGCAGACGGGGCAGCAGACGGGGCAGCAGACGGGGCAGCAGACGGGGCAGCAGACAGAAGGACTTGAGCAAGAAAAGCAGCCGTTAGGGAAGCAGCCATTCCAAGCCCAAGAGGACAAATCATCGGAGCAGCATGAGCAGGTGGAAACAGCGCAGCAGCAGGTTGCAGACCAGGGGACACGCCCCGCCCCGGAAAGACCAGCGGTGATGCCAGGAAGCAGTAAAGCAGCTGCTGCTGCTGCTGTTGCTAGCTCGGGTGCTGCTGCTAACTCGGGTGATGCTGAATCTCTTGGGTCACTGCAGAAATCCACCACCGGTAACGGTCCCACTGCTTCCGACAGCAGCGGACCCACTGCGATCTGTCTCGTGGGAGGGGCTCGCGATTTTGAGGCCACGTGGCCATCCATTGTCCGCCACGTCATCAGCCGGTACCTGCCAGCTCACCTCTTCGTGCACTCGCCTCTGGACGTGCGCGCCAGCAAGCTGTGGAGCCTGCTGCTCGCCGCTCCTGCTGCCGCCACCAATGCCACCACCACGGCTCCGATCATCGATGCCAGTGCTGCCAGGGATGTGACTATAGCGACGGTTCGCATCTTCCCCAGTGCGGACATTGCAGAGACGGACGAGCACCGCGCCGTGCTGACCAGTAATGGCTCGCCACATGGCATCCAGGTGAGGCCTGACTGGCAGAGGCTTGGCTGGCAGAGGCTTGGCTGGTAGAGGCTTGGCTGGTAAAGTACTCTTGTCTCGTGGAGGGCTGTCTCGACCTCGTTGCCACCCACTAGCCCTGCTTCAACATTCTCCTACTGTTGGATCATCTGCAACCCACCATCCCGTACAAGTTAAATTCTCCCAACCCACCCAACCCCACCCCCCAACTTTCCCCACGTTCCCCACGTTTCCCCCCCAGGGACTGCTGCAGTACTTTCGTCTGGTGGAGGGCTGTCTGTCTGGACTGCATGGCCGCCCACCAGCCCCGCCTGCAGCACCGCCTTCCCCTGGGTCATTCGCAGCCCGCCATCCCCACCCGTTCCCACCGGCTCCCACCGGCTCCCACCCGTTCCCCCTCCCCTGCTCCATCCCTTCACCCTTCACCCTTCACCCTTCACCCTTCACCCCACCCCACCCAACCAGGGACTGCCGCAGTGCTTCCGTCTCGTGGAGGACTGTCTCGACCTCATCGCCGCCCCCCACCCACCAGAACCGATCCAACATCTGCTACCATTGGGTCATGCGCGCCCCAGCTGTCCCTTACAATCCACGTACAGCAAACCTCCCCCCCCCCACCTCCTCCCCCCCACAGGGTCTGCTGCAGTACTTCCGTCTCGTGGAGGGCTGTCTCGATTTGATTGCCGCTCACCAGCAACAGTTCAACCTCTCCTACCGCTGGATCATCCGCACACGAGTCGACGGCTACTGGACCGCGCCCCCCCCCCCTCTCTCGTCCCTCCACCCCTCCGCCTACACCATCCCCTTCGGCTTCGACTGGGGCGGGCTCAACGACCGCCTGGGGATAGGCACCTGGGAGGCCTCTCAGGTGGCGCTTAGGCGGCTATCTTCGTTAAAAGACTTGTTTAGTGGTGGGAACCGGACGCTGACGTCGGAGAAGGCGTTTAGGGTGCAGATGCAGGCGGGGGGAGTGGCGGTGGCGCGCGCACACTTCCACTTCTGTGTGGTCACGAGGCGGCGGTCGAGGGGGGGCGATGGGTGCGCTGCCCTGATGTTTTCGACGGCGACGTATGGCCCGTTGAATGGGGCCAAGTGCCGGCCCTGCTCCTCCCCGTGTGCCTCAGACGATAAGGTGAGTGTTGGGAGGGGATATTTCGCTGCCTCAAATATCGGTAGGTGCAAAGGGAGGGGGGGGGAAGTGGCGCGCGCGCACTTCCACTTATGTGTTGTCACGCGGAGGCAGTCGAGGGGGTGCAACGGGTGTGCTGCCCTGATGTTCTCCACCGCTACCTACGGGCCGCTCAATGGGGCCAAGTGCCGCCCCTGCTCCTTCCTGTGCGCCTCAGACGATAAGGTGAGTGTGAGGAGGGGGGGAGGTGGAGGTTGTGGTCACGCGGAGGCGGTCGCGGGGGGGGCGATTGGTGTGGTGTGCTGCCCTGATGTTCTCCACCGCTACCTACGGGCCGCTCAATGCCGCCCATGCTCCTTCCCATGTGCCTCAGACGATAAGGTGAGTGTGAGGAAGGGGGGAGGTGGAGGTTGTGGTCACGCGGAGGCGGTCCAGTGGGGGCGACGGGTGTGCTGCCCTGATGTTCTCCACCGCTACCCACGGGCCCCTCAATGGGGCCAAGTGCCGGCCCTGCTCCTCCCCGTGCGCCTCGGACGACAAGGTGAGGAGGGAGGGAGTGGGTTAAGTCTGATGGGGGGGGGATGGGGTGTGGGGAGAGAGACAGCCCAGGGACCGCGTGTTCTCCTCCGCTTCCTACGGGCCTCTCAATGGGGCCAAGTGCCGCCTGTGCTCCTCCCCGTGCGCCTCGGACGACAAGGTGAGGACGAAGGGGATGAATAGGGGGGGCTGGAGGCGATGGGGGGGAGGGGGGAGGGGGGGAGGGGGGTATGAGGGAGGATGGGGGCCAAGCTGAGGTGAGGTGTGTGTGGCATGCAGTGGGTAGCATAGCATGTACTGCCATCCCTTGCCGCCCTACCTGCAGATGTGCAGATGTCGAGCACTACACCTTCTTCCCTTCTCCCCTTCCCGTTTTTTCCCCATCAGGCCGCCGCTGCTCTGATCACCGCTGCGCATGCAGCGGGTGGCATGTACCGCCGTGCCTTGCCTCCGCGGCTGCAGCTGTGCATATGATTGATACATGCTACATCTTCCCCCTCACCCCCTCCCCGCTCTTTCCCCATCAGGCCGCTACTCTAATCTAATCAACGCTGTGCACGCGCATGCGGGGCAGAAGGCATGTATGGCGTCCCTTACCTGGGCAGCTGCAGCTGTGCATATGATACATGCTACATCTCTCCCCGCACGCACCCAACCCCCCCTCTTTCCCCATCAGGCCGCCTTTCTAATCAATGCCGTGCATGCGGCGGGCAGCATGTATGGCGTCCCTTGCCACCGTGCCTGCAGCTGTGCGTATGATACATACCACACCTCCCCCCTCACCCCCCCGCCCTCCCCCCCCTTCTCCATCAGGCCGCTACTCTAATCAACGCTGTGCATGCAGCAGGCGGCATGTACCGCCATCCCTTGCCGCCGCACCTGCAGCTGTGCGATGCCAACCAGGCGTGGGACGCGGGGTGGGAGCGGCAGTTTGACCGCGACGCAGAGAGGCAGCGTGGGGGGAAGACGCTCAGCTGGCAGCGGCGCAACATCGCCCGTGTTGCCGCTAGCCTCAAGCACTGCACTCAACAGTTTGAAAAGGTGCACTGTGTGGTGCGCTATGTGATGCACTGTGTGGTGCGCTATGTGATGCACTGTGTGGTGCGCTATGTGATGCACTGTGTGGTGCGCTATGTGATGCACTGTGTGGTGCGCTATGTGATGCACTGTGTGGTGCGCTATGTGATGCACTGTGTGGTGCGCTGTGTGATGCACTGTGTGGTGCGCTGTGTGATGCTCTGTGTGGTGCGCTGTGTGATGCACTGTGCGCCGCAAGGCAGATGTGGCAACCAGGGGCTTCAGGTGGGGAAATCCAGGTGTATGTAATGTAACCCATGGCAATCTTCAAGGGGCTTTGATGACATGTATGAGCTTCAATGACTCACCAGGTCAACCTCACGCCATACCATCCCTTGTGATGCCATCCAGTTTCCTGCCATTCGTCATGACCCCATGCCATTCCCCATGACCCCATGCCATCCACCATGACCCCATGCCATTCACCATGACCCCATGCTATTCACCATGACCCCATGCCATCCACCATAACCCCATGCCATTCACCATGACCCCATGCCACTCACCATGTCCCCATGCCTTTCCCCATGACCCCATGCCATCCACCATGACCCCATGCCATCCCACCGCCAGCTGAAGGCCATGACAGTGGCGTGGGACTCGCCTCTCCCTGTGGCTGTGTGCATGCGGGCTCAACTGGGGGAGGCAGAGCTGATGGGCGGCAAGACGGGCGAGTTCAACACCTTCTCTGCGCTGCTCGATAGCCAAAGGTTCGATAGCAGGTTGCCCTGGTGTTTAGATTCTGATGAGAAACAAAATTCTGTAAACCTCTTATGTGTGATCTTTGGTGTGACCGTGTGTGTGTGTGTTGGGGGGGGGGGGGATTGTGTGTGTGTGGGTGGGTGTGTGTGGCTGGTGCAGCACGTTCATATCGGTGACGAACAGCAAGGCCAGCCAGAGCTGGGAGCGGCACCTCTTCAGGCGCTTTGGCAAGGTGCGGATCGGATTCCGAAATGCTGAGTGGCTGGCGTCCGCTGAATCCACCAACGCTAGCGCTACAAGAACCCGACCCTTCAGTGCTGTCAGGGTGAGTGTAGCTGGGTGTAAGTATAAAGGCAGGTGTAGCCTTATTTGCTTGGTTTTTCTGGATTTTCCGGGCTTGGTTTTTGGATTTTCTTCTTATTTGCTTGGGTTTTCCGGGCCTGCACCTTTGTATTGCAGGTTGAAATGGTTGTCATGAAGGAATATTCCTCTGGGGATTGGCTTCGCAATCTCGGCAGTATCAAGACGTGTCAGCTGCTCATTGGGTTCTCAGGGAGGGAACGAAAGGCTTTAACACGAGACAAGGTGACAAAGACGTTATCGGAGCCGTATTACTTCCAATTAGACTCGTGCAAGCGGACAGTGTCCTTACAAGGCGAGAGGTGCACCTACTTCTCTTTACGCTATTGCATTAAAAATTCGTTGTACAATTCTGCAAATAGTGGATAGCTTACTCACCTCTTGAATTCGTTGTACAGGATTCAGGAACACCTTACATCGAGGACGACGAGGCAGCTAGGCAGAGGTATGTCGCGCCGTGTTCTTTCCACTGGAAGCGCTCCCTCAGTCAAGTCCTAAGTGCAGATTACTCAAGGCCGAACTCAATGCGCACAACCTCCTCCAGCCGCGCTAGCGTCCCTCTACAGGATAAACTCCTTCGTACGCGCGTCTTCCGCACGTAGTGTTTCGACTTGGAGCTTTTGAGTTTTCGTCGACTCAAAAGAGTAGAGGGAGCTTTTGAGTCAACTCTACAGTCATCTCGTCTCCATGGGTGCGCTATCGGCGTTCGGGGGGGGGGGGGAGCAGCTTCTCCCGACTCTTCCGCCGTCGGCGGAAAGAAGCCCACGCCAGGTCGAGGCGGAGTCGTTCCTTCCGCGTCCGCCGAGGAATCCCGCGTGCGCGCGATCGCGGAGATCGTGCGCGCGATGATCGACGGCGTGCGCGCGGGTCGCGACGTGAACCTCAACGCGATCAAGTCCGACGCGTCGCGCAAGCACGGGCTCTCGCGCGCGCCGAAGCTCGTCGAGATCATCGCCGCGGTCCCCGAGGAGCACCGCGACGCGCTGATCCCGAGGCTCCGCGCGAAACCCGTTCGCACGGCGTCCGGAATCGCGGTCGTAGCCGTCATGTCGAAACCCCACAGATGCCCGCACATAGCGACGACAGGGAATATTTGCGTGTACTGTCCGGGGGGCCCGGATTCGGATTTCGAGTACTCGACGCAGTCTTATACGGGGTATGAGCCGACGAGCATGCGGGCGATAAGGGCGCGGTACCACCCGTACGTCCAGGCGCGCGGTCGGATCGACCAGCTGAGGCGGCTCGGACACAGCGTGGATAAGGTGCGGCTGGGCGGGCTCTTAATGACGGATGTTTAGCTACTGGTGTTTAGCTAAGTACCACTTTGTTTTCTCAGGCAAGCACAGTGCGACGGCTGTGTTTCCCACCGTCCAATCCACCGTGCCCTTCTTACACGCTGCGCTGCTGTTCTGAGAGTAGGAGTAGCTTTGTTTGTAGAAGTGTTTTGAGTCGACTCAAAACACTTCTTACACGCTGCGCTGCTGCTCGCTGCACACAAGCCCGTCCCATATTATCACGCTCTTCACAAGCACATGCTCATCATCAGCTGCTGGAGTTCATTTCAAAGGGGCGGCACATTCTTGTCGCTCCCAGCCCACGATCCTTCCATAGAACCCTCTCTTTATTATCCCCCCCGTGTACAATCACATCACCATCATCACGTGGATACATCCTAATGGGCGGCAGGCTCATGTCGCTGCCAGCGGACCACCACGACTTCTTTGTGCGCAATCTGCAGGGCGCCCTCTCCCTAGCTGCTCACCCTCCTTGTTATCCCACTCCGTATAATCACACCATGATTATCAGGTGGAGTACATCCTGATGGGCGGCACGTTCATGTCGCTGCCAGCGGACTACCGCGACTACTTCGTGCGCAATCTGCACGACGCCCTCTCCGGCCGCTCCTCTGCGTCTGTCGCCGAGGCAGTGCAGTACGCCGAGCACGCCGCCACGCGCTGCATCGGGCTCACCATTGAGACGTAAGCAAGCAGCCAATCCTTAAACCCGCTAAAACCTCCACACTCCATGCCCTTTGGGCTCCTCCGGAACTTCCGTGGGCCAGGCAGCGCAGTGCAGTGCGGTACGCGGAGCAAGCTGCCAGGCGCTGCCTCCATGCCATGCGGGCTCTCTATTGACGCATGAGCCCACATGGATGCAGGTGTCTTTTGAGTCGACTCACCTCAAAATACACCATTTTTTAGGCGCCTAAAAAATCATGAGCCCGCATGGCTGCAGGTGTGTTTTGAGTCGACTCACCTCAAAATACACCCGGGCTCTCAAATATTGATGCATGAGCCCGCATGGATGCAGCGGGCGGGCGCCGTTTCATCCTTACCGTTTCTGTCTCCCTGTGCCTCAGCGCCTCTCTGCCGCACCGCACCGCCTTTTCCATCCTCTACCCACTCTCCCCCCATCCTTTCACTCTCCCCCCATCCTTTCACTCTCCCCCCATCCTCTCACTCTCCCCCCAATCCTCTCACTCTCCCCCCAATCCTCTCACTCTCCCCCCAATCCTCTCACTCTCCCCCCAATCCTCTCACTCTCCCCCCAATCCTCTCATTCTCCCCCCATCCTCTCACTCTCCCCCCATCCTCTCATTCTCCCCCCAATCCTCTCACTCTCCGCCCATCCTCTCACTCTCCCCCCAATCCTCTCACTCTCCGCCCGGGCTACTGCTTGGGCCCTCACCTGCGGCAGATGCTGGCGTACGGGTGCACGCGGCTGGAGATCGGCATGCATCCTGAACCCTCTTTTCCCAATCCCCCCCCCCCCCTCCCCCTTCCCCACCCCCTGCCCCCCCCTTCCCCACCCCCTGCCCGCCCCTTCCCTCTACCCATTTCCCCCCAGCCGCCCAGACTACTGTTTGGGGCCGCACCTGCGGCAGATGCTGGCGTACGGGTGCACGCGGCTGGAGATCGGCGTGCAGAGCACCTATGAAGACGTGGCGAGGGACACCAACCGTGGCCACACCGTCGCGGCTGTGGCCGACTGCTTCTGTCTGGCAAAGGACGCTGGCTTCAAGGTGCGTGCTGACGATAGGGGTGCGGTGCCGAGCACATGTTGTGGGTGTCAGCACGCACCTTGAGGCTGGACCTCCTGCGTGTGGGCATGGGGCTTGACATGGACTTGTTTCTTGACATGGACTTGTTTCTTGACATGGACTTGTTTCTTGACATGGACTTGTTTCTTGACATGGACTTGTTTCTTGACATGGACTTGTTTCTTGACATGGAGTTGTTTCTTGACATGGAGTTGTTTCTTGACATGGAGTTGTTTCTTTACATGGAGTTGTTTCTTTACATGGAGTTGTTTCTTGACATGGAGTTGTTTCTTGACATGGAGTTGTTTCTTGACATGGAGTTGTTTCTTGACATGGAGTTGTTTCTTTACATGGAGTTGTTTCTTTACATGGAGTTGTTTCTTGACATGGAGTTGTTTCTTGACATGGACTTGTTTCTTGACATGGACTTGTTTCTTGACATGGACTTGTTTCTTGACATGGACTTGTTTCTTGACATGGAGTTGTTTCTTTACATGGACTTGTTTCTTGACATGGACTTGTTTCTTGACATGGACTTGTTTCTTGACATGGAGTTGTTTCTTTACATGGAGTTGTTTCTTTACATGGAGTTGTTTCTTTACATGGAGTTGTTTCTTGACATGGAGTTGTTTCTTGACATGGAGTTGTTTCTTGACATGGAGTTGTTTCTTTACATGGAGTTGTTTCTTTACAAGCCCGGCCGTCAAGTGTATCCCCCCTCTTTCTCCTCTCCCCCTCTCCCCTCCCCCCTCCCAGGTGGTAGCGCACATGATGCCCGATCTGCCCAACGTGGGCATGGAGCGAGACATGGAGTCCTTCCGCGAGTTCTTCCTCAGCCCAGCCTTCCGCACGGATGGCCTCAAGCTCTACCCCACGCTCGTCATCCGCGGCACGGGGCTGTACGAGCTCTGGAAGACTGGCAGGTGGGTTGCAGACTGATAACCCACATCATGGACTTTTGTGCGCCACATCACGCACGGCATCCCCCCCGTTCCCCCCTACTTTCCGCCGCAGGTAACACCAGCACGCGCCACAGAAGCCCATAGACCTCGTAACGTGCGTCCTGCCTTTGGTGCTGCCCTGGGCGCGCACACCATGCGCGACATCCCGCTGCCACTTGTCACCCACCTCCCCCTGTCCCCACCTCCCCCTGTCCCCACCTCCTCCTGTCCCCACCTCCCCCTGTCCCCACCTCCCCCTGTCCCCACCTCCCCCTGTTCCCCCCTTCCCCCGGTGCCGTGCCCTCTCCCTGGTACCCCCTTGGACCCGCGTGTCTTGCACCATGCGCGACATAGGAGTCTCCTATCACGCGGATTTTGAGGCGCCTCAAAACTTGCACCATGCGCGACATCCCGCTGCTGCTTTCCAATCCAATCCCATCCACCTCCCCTCCCCACCTACCATCCCCCATGTACCGCAACTTACCCGCCAGAGAAGCTTATTGACCTGGTTGCTCGCATTCTCTCCCGCGTGCCGCCCTGGACCCGAGTCTACCGCATCATGCGCGACATCCCGCTGCCACTTGATACCCCCACCCACCACTCCACCACTCCTCCCCACTCTTTACCCCCAGGTACCGCAACTATCCACCGGAGAAGCTCATAGACCTGGTGGCGCGCATCCTGTCCCTCGTGCCACCCTGGACCCGAGTCTACCGCATCATGCGCGACATCCCGCTGCCACTTGTCACGTCGGGAGTGGACAAGGGCAATCTGCGCGAGCTGGCGCTGGCGCGCATGGCGGACCTGGGGCTCAAGTGCCGGGACGTGCGGACCCGAGAGGCGGGCATACAGGACATCCACCATGACGTGCGGCCGCACGACGTGCAGCTCGTGAGGCGAGACTATGCCGCAAATGATGGCTGGGAGACGTTTCTCTCGTACGAAGACGTGAATCAGGTGAGGGGAGTGGTAGCGATGTGGTAACCAGGTGGTAACCACGTGAGAGGAGGTTACCAGCTGTTTCGTCTCATCTTGTAACCATGCCCTTCCCTGTTCCCGCACTCTCGTCCATGGTGAAGCCCAACCTCGTATCCCCCCTCCCCTCGCTGTACATCCTGGTTCCCCTTGTTCGCCACCCCCTAAACAAATGTCCTGCTCCCCCCCTCCCCCCCCCCCCTCTTTTCAACAGGATATTCTGGTGGGGTTGCTGCGGCTGAGGAGGTGTGGGCCCCACGTGACGTGCCCGGAGCTGAAGGGGAGGTGCTCCGTTGTGCGCGAGCTGCATGTGTACGGCACGGCTGTGCCCGTGCACTCCAGAGACACCGACAAGCTGCAGCACCAGGTGGGTGGCACTCTCGGGTATGTGGCTGCAGCACCAGGTGGGTGGCAGTCTCGGGTATGTGGCTGCAGCACCAGGTGGGTGGCAGTCTCGGGTATGTGGCTGCAGCACCAGGTGGGTGGCACTCTCGGGTATGTGGATGCAGCACCAGGTGGGTGGCACTCTCGGGTATGTGGCTGCAGCACCAGGTGGGTGGCACTCTCGGGTATGTGGCTGCAGCACCAGGTGGGTGGCACTCTTGGGTATGTGGCTGCAGCACCAGGTGGGTGGCACTCTCGGGTATGTGGCAGCAGCACCAGGTGGGTGGCAGTGTCAGGTGGGTGGCAGTGTCAGGTGGGTGGCAGGACCAGGTGGGTGGCAGTACCAGGTGGGTGGCAGCATCAGGTGGGTGGCAGGCAAGCTGCAGCACCAGGCAAGCTGCAGCAGCTGGTTCGGTCTCAAGCCAGGGTGACAGGTGCATAGCACCAAGTGCACCACAGCAGCTGAAGGGGAGATGCGCTATTGTGCGCGAGCTGCATTTGTACGGCACAGCTGTGTGGCTGTGCGTGTGCACTCAGGAGTTTTGAGTCGTCTCAAAACTAAACCACTCACACAGCTCCATTTGTACGGCATGGCTGTGCGGCTGTGCCTGTGCACACTAGAGGCACCGACAAGCTGCAGCTCCGGGCAACCATAACCACTGAAGGAGCAGGTAAGGGAGCTTCTGGTGCGCATCTTTTGCTTTGGAATGAACGTCCGAGGTTCGGATCACCTGGTTTGGAAGTTGGGATGGTGTGGTAGAGTGAGTGACAGTGGTAAACCATTGCATACACTTGAACTAGTACCTGGTGCGACTTTTTGTTCTGGAAACCTTGTCCTGGTGTTCGTTCTGATGTTTTTTATGCCTATTTTATGTGTTGCTGCAGGGATACGGCACACTATTGATGGAGGAAGCTGAGCGCATTGCAAGGTGGGAGCATCGGTCCACTAAGCTAGCTGTGATCTCAGGCATAGGTACTCGGCACTACTATAGGAAGCTGGGCTACGAGCTGGAGGGGCCGTACATGGTGAAAGCACTGCCTCGTGTTGTGACGGGAAGGCGACAGAAGGCCAGTAAGAGGCGAGCTAAGCAAGCTGTGTTTTTATGTTGACTGTACAGTGGTTTTGTAATGTGATGAATAATGAAGCTGCTTTCACTGCATGTTTTTTCTAAAGCACTGCTTGTCATAAACTCGCCAGTCCTAACCATTGGGACTAGAAGGGATGTCCTCAGGAGAGTTAGGCTGCATATATCCACCTTCATCAGGGAAAGCTTCCCTAGCAGGCCCCCAAATTGGTTTTGGGCCTGTCTGATTCGTCAGAGTCCACTACCTTCCCTTGGTATGGGTGTCAGAGTTGCCTCCTTGAAAAAGTCAGAAAAATCAGAGTAGCCTGTCGAGAAGAAAACTGAAGAAGTGTTGAATAGAGAGAGAGAGAACAAGGGTATATACCTAAGAGTGTTGTACCCTCTAAGAGGTGACCCTATACAGTCTATACAAATATGAGTTATACATATATTTGACACACCCCCTAGACTGCAGGGCAAATCCTGAACAAGCAGCTCAGGGCGGCACTACTAGTCCAGCCACTGAGACAAGGGTCTGAAGACCAGTCAAAAAGGAGTACAGGCAAGACAAGAACAAGACCAGGGTGGCACTATTAGTCCAGCCACTGGGAGAGGACACAAGTCCAGTCTGAGTACATATATAGATATATATAGGACAGTACAAAGTCAAGGTCCTAGCAAGTGAGAGGCTACAGGAACTAGACCAACCTGTACACAGTGCCGCTGATGATCTTTAGGCGCAAGCGCCTTCGTAAAGATATCAGCTGTGTTGGCACCAGAGGCCAAGTGAACTACGCGGGCCTGGCGGCGCTGCTGTAGCTCGCGCAGGAGGAAGTACCGCAGCTGGATGTGCTTCGCTCTGCCCTCAAGCCGAGGCTCCTGACACAGGAGTATCATGGCCCTGTTGTCAGCGTACAGGACCAGGGCAGAGCTAGGCCGCTCACCTAAGTCTGTGAGCAAGAAGGTCAGCCAGCGGAGCTCCTGTGCCGCCATGGCACCAGCGTAGATCTCAGCCTCACAGCTCGACTGAGCAACAGACGACGAGCGAGTGGATCTCCAAGAGATAGCACCCGAACCAAGGCTGAAACAGTAGCCCTGCGACGACCTGAGCGTCTCAGAGTCGTCTGCCCAAGAAGTGTCTGTGTGCCCAGTAAGGACCACTGGCCTGAGTCCTCCTAGCACTAACCCCATGCCTGATGTACTTGCTAGATATCGCAAAACCCTCTTAGCGGGCGACCAGTGCTGTGGTCGATGTCTGCCTGTAGCCACAAAGCGAGCCAGGATGCTGAGAGGATATGCGAGATCTGGGCGAGTGCAGGTCATCAGGTACATGAGGCAACCCACCAGCTCTGCGTAGGGGCCGCTGGGTTCTACTGGCTCCTTAGGAACAGGAGCGGAAAGCCCGTGGTCTACAGGTAGAGGTATGGGCTGTGTAGAGGAGAACTGAAGACCGAACCTCTGAAGGACCTGACGCACCAGGTGTGACTGGGTTAGAGTGATGGTGCGTGCTGCTCTGTCCCTAGAGATCTGCAGGCCAAGATAGCGACGCAGCTCTCCAAGGTCAGTGCAGGTGTGTCTCTTCAGCAGCTCAGTCTTCACAGAGGCCAGTGCGTCCCTGTCAGCAGTAGTGAAGACCAGGTCGTCTACGTAGACAAGGATGTAGAGCGGAGTCTGGCCGGAACGCACAAACAGGGAAGGGTCAGCAGAGGACAGAAAGGACTGCAGCTCTACTAACGTGGCACGTAGCGTGTCGTGCCACTCGCGAGGAGCCTGACGTAGGCCGTAGACCGGGCGCATGAGAAGCCACTGGGTCCCAGGAGGGAAGGTACCAGTAAAGCCCTGTGGTCGGCGCAGGTAGACCTGCTCGTGTAGGCTGCCCTGAAGAAAGGCAGTAGAGAAGTCGAGGGAGTGAAGCTCGTAGTCACGCTGTGCTGCTACGTGTAGCAGCGCCCGAAGAGTGGTCATCTTCGGGGTCGGGGCGAAGGTCTGGAAGAAGTCAACCCCCTCGCGCTGACTGAAACCTCTGGCCACGTAGCGTGCCTTGAAGACAGGCGGCTCTCCAGGGGGGCGCTTCACCTTGAAAAGCCACCGACCATCGACTACGTTCACCCCAGGCGGGGGAACTGCGTCGACGTAAGTGCCGGTGGACCTCCAAGATGCCATCTCCTGCTCCATCGCAGCTATCCACTGAGAGGCCCAAGGTCCCGAGGTGGCCTCAGCGTAGGTGCGAGGGGTCGGGATGTCAAAGGCGTCTGTGTCACCCTCATGGACTAACAGCATGGAGCAGAGAAGGGGAGCAGCCTCAGAAAGGAAAGCAAGCTCGTACTGCCTGTCCTCTAGGACGTCACTGCCAAGGGCAGGAGCACCCCCGACGGACGGAGGACGGGCAGGGTCAGAGACCAGAGCGGTAGCGTAGTCAAGGCGGCGGGTAGAGGCGAAGTCAGCGACAGCAGCGACAAGCGCGTTAAGACGCGAGACAGGAACAGAAGGGTCGTTAACAAGAGAGGCAAGGACCCGAGGGACAAGGGGACGAGCAGCACGGAGGTAGTCAGAGAACGGAGGAGGTACAACAGCAAGGGACGAGGGAGGAGGGGACGGGAGGAGGGGAGGACGAGACGAGCGGGGGCGGAGCAACATAGGGTGGGTGGGTAGGACAGGAGAGACGGGACGGGCACGGGAGGGACGGCGAGCCCAAACGTGAGACGGAGGTGTAGGGTCAGGGGACAGCGGAGGAGACACAGGAGGGGAACGAGGAGGAAGACGGGCCGGAGACGAGTCTGGCGTCGGGAACACAGGACCGTAGACAGGAAGGTCAGCAGGCGGTGGGGGAGACACCGTCGCGCGGTCCGGGGAGGGAAGGCCGAGCAGGCGGAGAGCGGAGACCGGCGGCGACGGCTGCTGCGGCGGCGACGACGGCTGGGCCGGAACTCTCGGACCAGCAAAGACAGAACGGCCGTCAGCAGAACACTCAACAGCAGCACCCCCAGAACCAACACCCCCAGAGCGAGAACCCCCTCCAACACCAGCGGCACCCCCAGAAGCTGCAGCATGAACACCCTCCTCCACACCAGCACCCCCAGGGGCCAAGAGCGGCAGCGGCAGTGGCGGCGACGGCTGCGGCGGCGGCGGCTGCAGCGGGGTCGGCGACTGCGACAGTGGAGGCGGAGGCACCAGGGAAGGGGGACGCGGCAAGGACAGACCGGGGGTACCACTAGAGTCAGCAGACTCCTCAACGAGGACAACCGACAGGAGGGGAGTGACGTGAGAGACACCAGACGGGGCAGGACGAGGCGGGAGAGTGGCAGGGGCTACCGGGGGAGAGGGAGCAAGGAACAAGGGGGGGGCAACTGGGAGACCTCGGTGAGGGAAGCGGCGATAGAAGGAGACGGACTCGTCAAAGGTGACGTCACGAGAGTGGAGGAAGCGGTGAGACGGTGGGTGGTAGAAAAGCCAGTCAGACGAGTCCAGGGGGAAACCGAGGAAGACACAAAAAACAGTGCGGGCAGTGAGCTTGTCCGTGCCAGAGGCACGAATGTGAGCAAGGCAGCCCCAGACGTGGAACCCAGACGCGTCACCGGGGGACCCGGTCCAAAGGAGGGTCGGCAAAACCTGCGGCCGCTGGGAGCGTGGCCACAGGTTAAGCTGGTGAGCAGCGTATCGAACAGCGAACGGCCACAGAAAATGGGGGGCATCGGCATGGATCATGGAGGTACGGGCGACCTCCATGACCAAGCCGATGCGGCGCTCAGCAACCCCATTCTGCTGTGGGGAGTCTGGCAAGGTGTACGACTGGGTGATGCCCTCCGCACGACAGAACTGTCCAAGCCGACCAGAGGCGAACTCACCGCCACGGTCAGAGTGGAGACACAACACGGGGAGACCGCGGTGGAGACGCGCAGCCACAACCCACGGGAGAAGAACGTCGGGCACATCGGCCTTCCGCTCCAGGGGAAACATCGTGGTATAGCGCGTGTAGTCGTCGACGAGCACAAGGAAGTAGCGCTCACCTCGCGGTCCGGGGACGGGGGCCGGGCCCCAAACGTCCAGGTGCAGGGTTTGAAGGGGGGCAGTAGCAGGGCGCAGCGAGGAGGAGTGAGGAGCACGGCGGAGCCGGCCCTCGACGCAAGGCGTGCACGGTGGCGCAGTTGAGGGAGGAAGGGCAGGGAGCGACGCGGGGAGACCTAAGACAAGACCGTGCTGGGACATGTGACGCAGACGCGGGAGAGCAGGGTGACCTAAGCGGTGGTGCCAGAGAAGGGACGGGTGAGTGAGGGACCGACACGAGCAAGTTGCAGCGACCTTGGAGGATTCACCAACCGGGGGGGAAGCGGTATCTAGGGTAAACAGACCGGACACCGGGTCCCGGGGGAACGTCGCAAGGGGGGAACCTGAGACAGCCTCGGAACAGACAGCGAACCGCTCGTGCCCGGGGAACGTGGTGGTGACGCCGAGGTCCTGGAGACAGCCGACACCAACCAGGTTCCTCGAGAATGAGGGAACGTGGAGGCCTGTAAGGGAGCCCGAGGGAACTGCTGGACAGGGAAGGGACTTAGAACTGCGAGCGACGACAGGACCCGCAGAGGGGTCAGCGAGAGAGACAGGCAGGTGCAGGGGGGGCCAGGCAGGTGCTGGCGGGGCCAGGCAGGCGCGGCGGGGCCAGGCAGGCGCGGCGGGGCCAGGCAGGCGCGGCGGGGCCAAGCATGCGCGGCGGGGCCAGGCAGGGGCGGCGTGGCCAGGAGGCGCGGCAGGGCCAGGCAGGCGCGACGGGCCAGGCAGGGGCGGCGGGGCCAGGAGGCGCGGCAGGGGCCCAGGAGGGGCGCGACAGGCTAGGAAGCGCTACAGGGGCTCAGGAGGGGCGCGACGGGCTAGGAGGCACACGGGGCCCAGGAGAGGTACGACGGGCTAGGAGGCGCGGCAGGGCCCAGGAGGGGCGCGTCGGGCTAGGAAGCGCTACAGGGGCCCAAGAGGGGCGCGACGGGCTAGGAGGCACACGGGGCCCAGGAGGGGCACGACGGGCTAGGAGGCGCGGCAAGGGCCCAGGAGGGGCGCGACGGTCTAGGGGGCACGACAGGGGCCCAGGAGGGGCGCGACCGGT